CGACCTTTCAAACCCGGCCAGCATTGTCTTGTGGGGGAACCCGTCGGGGATGGTGCCCCATGCATCAATAGGCCGGTTCTGTAGCTTTTCTGCCTCAAACTGCAAGATGTCTGAAGCTGGGTCGCAGTAATTATCGGGGCAGCAATTCTGTGCAGTCAATAAGTGCTGGCAACTCTGCAGAATGTCCACCTTCCCAGCCGTTCTTTTGTATCTCACTTTCTTTTGCTATCTTCTGTGCACACAGGAGCCAAAAGGCACCACTAGCTAGTGAAAACAGTGATTCTGACAAGTAGGGGTAAGATAAAAGGTCTTTGGTGATTCTTAATGTTGGGGGCATATAGTGATCTGTAAATCTTGGGTGTAAACAGGGGGCCTTCAGGATTTCCAGCAGCCCTGTCTCTTCAATGTTTCATGTGCATGTACATTTTAAGTAAAGGTAAAGGTTTCCCTTGCTTGAAAGCCAGTCGAATCCGACTCTAGGGGGCAGTGCTTATCTCCATTTCCAAGCCAGAAGAGCCAGTGCTGTCCGAAGACGTTTCCATGCTCATGTGGCCAGCATGACTAAATGCTGAGGCGCACAGAACACTGTTACCTTCCCACAAAAGTGGTACCTATTTATCTATTTGCAATTTCTTGTGTTCAAACTGCTTGGTTGGCAGGAGCTTCGGCCAGAGACGGGAGCTCACTCTGTCATGAGGCACTAGGGTCTTGAACTGCCAAACTACAAACCTTCCGGTCTGCAGCTCAGCGTCTTAACCTCTGAGCCACCGAATCCCTACATCTTAAATAAGCCTGTATAAATAGTCTTTTCTAGTGCTGTTTCTGTGCTGTATTCAGGACGGAAACCTAACTGCTGTGTGCGTGGGGGGGGAGGGGGGGGGGGGGGGGGGGGGGGCACGTCATACAAAATTGGGTCTTTTAACCAGACATGATAGGAAGTCATCTCACAGGGAACAGAATCCCAGTATTAGGAAATTTTATATGGGGGTGGCCCAAAGCTTAGTTTTGAGTGAGATTCCCCATTTCTTATTCATAGGTATATTGTCTAGTTAAGCATCATATTTGCATGGGATGCATTTTGCTTGGGGACAGCCTGCTCAAAAGCAAAGCCTTGGGGCTAGACTCAGTGTCAGGGTATCTCATAGGAAAAAGCCTCCTAGAAGCAGCAGTTTATGATTTTGGACGGCCAAAGTTTATTTTGGGGTAAACTGCTTGCCAACCACAGTTCCCTGACGTAAATGGCAGTTTCAGAAGGCAAACTCTATGGTATACCATAGATTCTAGTTGAATCCCTCCCCAAAGCCCCTCTCCACAGGCAAATCTCCAGGAATTTCCCAGGCCACAGCTGGCAGCCCTGGATAAAAGTATCCCAGTTCCTCATTCATAGAAAACACAGTAAGGCAACCTGAACCTATGGCTGGCTCTGATGTATCACCAGTTCACCACCAATGCTAGTGCAGTGCTGGTAGGACGTATCACAGCGTATCTCTGAGATTCACCAGTGTAGGGCTTAGGCACCATCCTAAGCCCTTTAGAGACACAGTTTAGGCTTGGGGAACATTCCTAAAACAAGTGTACTCAGAAGTAAATCCAGTGTTATCAAACTCTCGGAACAGTGTCCTTAAGATTGCAGCTTTGGTGTAGGAGTATCATTCATTGAGAGTGACTTGTTTGAAAATGAAACTTCAGTCTGGAGAAGGTGGTAGGAGAACTAACAGAAAACAGACTCTTGGTCCTGGGAATCAATGGTTTTGGAGCGGTCTAGAGTTGACCAGGGAGGGCAAAACCTCCAGTTCCTCATTCATAGGGTTAGTTACATGGAAAGTGTACGTTTGGGGGGGGTGGGGGGGGGGGGGGGGGGAGGCAATCGTGCTTGGGTTAGACTCCATAATGGAGCACTAGGGAAGGGACAGTGTCCCAGTCCTTGAGGTGTATGCAATGAGGCAGTCCAAAACCCGATTTCAGAGTGCAAAACATCCAGTTTCTTAATTTTAACTATGTTGACAAATGAATACAGAGGCATCATGGTTCAAAGTGATGTGTGGAAATTCCTAAACTTTCGACTGGAGATCATAGAGGGAGGACTGTCTCTTGGCCATGGAGCGTATGATTTATTCTAGCCCAAAACTTTAAAGGGAGCAAGGTTTCCAGCTCATTACTTCTTGGTATATTGATAGGTGAAATATATTACAGATGGCAAAAGTATCATGCCTGACCTGTGCCAAAATTTAAACTGTGGGCAGATGTGATGCTGGGGCATCTTGAAAGGGTTTAGTTTGGCTGGTCTATTTTGGCTTGATGGGAAATTGATTTCAGTGAAAAGCTCTGATTCCTTATTCATTGTGGCATTGTCAGTGATTGAAGTGGAGAATCACACTTGTATGCAACTTGCACAAAGCCTAGCTAGACATATAGGAATTTCACATTACCCTTTTAAACCCATTTTGAAGCCGTTTTTGATCCGTCGTGGAGGCGATCTCCAGCTTTTTTTGAACGTTCGCTTTAGAGCGCTATAGCGCGATAGTGCTATAACACAACACTCCAGGCATTCCAATGTTGCAGGCAAAAAACGGTGGGAAAAAGCGCATCGGAACCGGGAGAGGAAACTGAAGACTACTTGGAAGCGGTTGACAGGTAAAACGCTTCCTAAACAGGACAGAAGCGTTTGTGTGTGAAATTACAAATATATTCCAGTAGGGAACCAGTTCTAAAACGGTTCTGTCTGAAATGACAGACCAGAAACCGTTTGGGAACTGTTCCTCTTCCGGATTATATCGTCTGTCTGAAATTCCTTACAGTGTTGGGGCCTCTCCAAGTGAACAGTCTCTGAGTCACGGGGATGTACAATTTGTCCTGGCTGAAAGCTTAATTATTCATAAAGACTTTGCAAGGGACACATATTATTGGCACAAGGTTATTATACTTGATAGCACACTGTACAAAATTAAAGTTTGAGCCAGACATGGTGCTGGGGGGCGGTCTCGATTGCAGGGGTGAATGAATTGGTCTGGTCTAAGGCAGAGGTGTCGAACTCATTTGTTATGAGGGCCAGATTTGACATAAATGTCACGTTGGGCTGGGCCATGTGTGCCATAAAACGTAATGAAGCATTGAAACAGAGTCCACCTTATTCATTATCTCAATTTTGCATTAAAACAGAGTCCAACTAATTCATTTTTTCAACAGAGTCCAGCATTTTCCTCTCTTTACTCGATGAGTACACCGGTTTTTACACTCATTTCAAAGGTCTTCCTCAAGAGTAATCTTATAAAGTTCTTATAGAGTTGGAAGGTGTTTTCTTCTATGAATTATCAGTTCCATTGCTGCAATGGAACTGATAATTCATAGAAGAAAACACCTTCCAACTCTATAAGAACTTTATAAGATTACTCTTGAGGAAGACCTTTGAAATGAGTGTAAAAACCGGTGTACTCATCGAGTAAAGAGAGGAAAATGCTGGACTCTGTTGAAAAAATGAATTAGTTGGACTCTGTTTTAATGCAAAATTGAGATAATGAATAAGGTGGACTCTGTTTCAATGCTTAATTATTAAATGTGTCATTGTCATTGATCACAGTGGTTTCTTGTTTGTTGGCATGTACCTGCACACTGTGACCCCTGTTTGTATCTTGTTTGAATTGACCATAAAACGTAATGCCAGGTACCAGAGATAGAAACTGTATAAATGACAGTAGCTTGTAAGCTCCAAGTTGTTGTATCCTCACTGCAAGGCTCCATGGTGCAGAGGAAAAGCCACATGGGTGGACTGGAGAGCCAGAGGTGCAGCATTGGGCACACTGCTTGACTGCTGCAGACAAGGTTGTTCTGCCGTAATGAAGCCACAATCCACCCACTCCCTGCTCTGAGCAGTCTCCTGTTCCCTCCCTTGCATTAGTTGCTCATGGGCCGCATCCGGCCCCCGGGCCTTATGTTTGACACCCCTGCTCTAAGGCTTATTCAGGGGTGCAAAAATATGCATTGACCTCAAAGATTTTGGGCCTCAAAAGTAAAGTTTTGGGCAGGAGACAACGCTAGGTCAGTCTCCCAATTGCAAATATTTATGTTGGGGGAGAGCCTAAAGCTTAGCTTGGGAATATAGAGGTGTGTGAGCTTCTGTTTCATCTTTGGCTATGACAGCCATATGAGAACAAATCTAGGTGTGGATCCAGCCTGCACAGGAGTTCCTGTGGCCAATTCACTTCCCTCTGCCTTCCATCTCCCACCGGGTAAGGTTGTCTTTTTCAGGACACCCCCACCTCACACACACACCCAGCTTCCTTTCCCACACCTAGTTTCTGTATCCCAGCATAGTGCGGTAGTTCGAGCGGCAGACGAGGATCTGGGAGGCCCAGGTTCAGATCTCTAGTCTGCCATGGAAGGTTGCCGGGTGACCTTGGGCCTGTCACACACTCCCAGCTTAACCAGCCTCACAGGATTGTTGTGAGGATAAAATGGAGGAGGGGAGAATGCTGTAAACCACTTTATACCCCATTTTTCTCCCCAGTGGGAGCCCAAATAGGGTTACTAAGCCTACATCAGTGAATCCTGGGAGTTTGGGGGGGGGCAAAACCTGAGAGGAGGGTCACCAATGCTACAGTGTCACTTCTGGGTGATTACCTGGAAGAGATGTCACAGCCGCCCCTTCCCTTGGATACTCTAGGAATTCCCCCAGTCTCTTTGGTAAAGACGACAGAGCTCGGGGAAACTCTTAAAGTGGAATTGGGGGGGGGGGGTTTGATGTCTTTTTTTTCTCCTGCTGCTCACTTGATGAAGCATGGGCAATTGATGGCAGGGGCAGGAGCTCACCCACCACAGGTGGGCACCTGGTAAGCCTGAGTGTAAATGAAGTAAATAAACTTTCCCCCTTGCGAGACAGAATGTGGGGTCCCTTCGAAACACAGTTTTTCAAACCAAGGGTGTTTTTTATGATGTCATCTGTGCATCACAAGAAAGCACCAACTACCAGCTCTGCAATAATAACTTTTCCCAATAGTAAATTAGTTTAAAAAGCACTAGGTGGGTGGCATCTCTAAACATGCACAGCATCAGCCTGTCTGATGTAGAATCTGCTGCAGAATCTTAGTGCAGTCCCTCCCCAGAGTTGGAGGTTTGGGATGTGTGCAGATTTTTCCCCACTCCTGTCTTTAATCCCCTCTCCCTTTATCCCCTCTTCCCATCCCTTCTGCGTGTCTGAGGGCATGGGGTCATCCCCTTCACTCAAAGAAGCTGTTTCTGCTTGCACTGAATGGAGTCTTTGTCAAATAAATCAAATTAGTCTTTTATGAATCCAACCTGTTGGTCATGCTGTATTGCAACAAAGTTGTGGGGTTTGACTTTCCAGATTGAGAGGATTTGGCGTGTAAACTCACAACAAACAGAAACGATGCTAGGATGCCAAATTGGCCAAGGTAAAAAACTCCCCAAGAGATCAGAAGAGTGATCAAAAGGAAGGTTCCCTTCCTGTCAAGAGTTGGGTGGAAGAGGGAATTTCAGCCAGGCCTTCTTTTCTCACGTGTTTGACAAACAATACCTACCCCTGCTGCACAACCAGGATGATCAGGGCAAATCCCGGCTCGCAGAGTTTGAGAAACTGGCCTTTGTCCATACAACTGAACCATTCTGTGTCAATGCATAGCCCAGCAGTGGGAGCCAGTCCTCTAGCTGCAAGATTACAGACAAGCCTCCTGCTTGTCATCTGCATAAGGCGGGGTGGAGTCTGCTAGAAACAGTGGACATTTTGCTTTTTCTGAGAACTCTCTGCTGGGATCAAACGTGACCAAGTCACACCCTTATTTCAATAGCCTCCGTGCAGACAGAATCAGAAAAACCTGAACCCTTATGCCTTCCAACTGCAGTACCACTGCAATATAAAGAAGCAAGCCAACTGCCAAGAGGATTTTTGCAGTCTTTCCCCATCAGAAAAAAAGGGCAGGGGGCAGATAATGGGAACAGTGCATATAGCTGCGGTGTGTGTTGCGGTGTAGATATGCTAGAAGCAAAAGAGTGACCATGCTTCTTTACCATAGTAGAGCACACTTCCTACCCTCAGTCTAAATGGAGGAGAAGCCATTTAGATAAGAACAGGCCGCCATTTTGCTCAGTTTCCACTGGGCGCCTTGGAGGGCCTGGGATGCCATCGACATCCTTCACTTCTTTTTTGTCTGGCTTAGGGATCTGTTTCCAGAGGGCCTTTCTCTCCATCTTCTCCTCCCTCCTCTGCAGCTGTAGCATTCCCTAAGCTTTCAAGCAGGATTTCATTGATGTAGTTCAGAGTAAGGTTATTAAAGACCAAGTTGAGATGATCAACCCCTGGCAGCTCCACAACGTGCACCCTTTCTTTCTGCTGGCCATGCCACTGCTTACACAAGTCCAGGCTGCCTCTGTTGACAGAGTCATCCCCGTCACCATACACTATGTCCACAGGGTCCTCATAGGGGAAGCGATCGTCATAGAGATAGGTCTCCGGAGTGGGTAGCCCAATGCCATACAGGCAGTACACCTCAACACCTGGTGGGGGCAGCCCTTTCATCAGATCCTTGGTGTCATTCCACATGTACCAGCCATCCTCAAAGTTGACATCGGTGAAGAAGCGCTGATAGTCATGTAAGGTGTAGTTGTAGGAGGGGGTAGAGATGAAGATGTGGGTCTCAGGCCAAGCCATCCTGTTTGGGAACAGCCATGGATTGTTGGTGGTCACTTGCCGTTCTTCACGTAGCTTGATGCTGGACATGATTGGGATGCCTTGGTTGTCACCTGTGGTTCAGACAAACATCATCAACTGCAGTGTCAACAAACACCCTACAGCCCGCGGGCACTTTTGGAAGTTTTGAGGACAGGGAGTGGGCATCACTACAGAACAGCTACCATGGAGGAAAGTGTAGGACGGTTCCAAACCAAGCATCCTCCTACAATGGAGGTGGCTCTTTCTGAATGGGTGTTCCCAGCAGACAGAAAGTTCATGCTTCCAGGGCTCTTCTTAAGTTTCATCTGCTCCAGTGAGGTGGAGGAGAGCCAGGACTAGCTGTTTGCTTTAGAACAAGGATGCTTTGCTGAAGAAGTAAATTGGTACCAGGAAAGCCACTGGATCACCCTGGGACCCTTGGCCTTACACAAGGGGAAAACAGTGCAAGGAGAAGGATAACCTGTGGCTCTGATCCGAGTCATGCCCCCACACACTTGGGAATCAAGTTCCAAGTGCAGAACTCCCTGATCATATCCGTCTATCAGACCTGAGGACATACCTGGGAAAAGGCAGAGAAGAATCTTCGGTGGTAGGTAAAATTGAGAGGAAGGCCACACTCAAGGTGTCCAATTGTCCTCAACCTGGGCCAAGGCCTTTTTGGCCCTGGCCCAAGCCTGGTGGAACACTCTCCCAGGAGAGATTAGGGCCCTACGAGATCAGGTACAATTCTGCAGGGCCTGTAAAACATTGTTCCACCAGGCCTATGGCTGAGGGAAGTATTTGGCCCCTATCCAATAGGCTAGTTTTGGCCTCCCCCCTCCTTTCCATCTCACCCTGCTTCCCCCCTTCTTCCTCTTCATTTAGACATCTGTATATTGCCCCTCTGTATGAGCTCTACAGGGCTGCGGTGGCTCAGAGGTTAAGACACTGAGTTGCAGACCAGAAGGTCTGTAGTTCGGCAGTTCGAGACCCTAGTGCTGTGTGACAGAGTGAGCTCCCGTCTCTGGCCCCAGCTCCTGCCAATCTAGCAGTTCGAAAGCAAGAAACTGCAAGTAGATAAATAGGTTCCACTTCAGTGGGAAGGTAACAGTGTCCTTTGCGCCTTGGCGTTTAGTCATGCCAGCCACATGACCACAGAGAAGTCTGCGGACAGTGCTGGTTCTTCGGCTTGGAAACGGAGATGAGCACTGCCCCCGAGAGTCGGATGCGACTAGCTTTCGAGCAAGGGAAACCTTTACCTTATGAGCTCTACACCATCTTAAATTGTATAGTAGCTTTTCTATCAATTTTATTGTATTTATTGATTTTGATTAATTGTATGTTGTATTTTGGAAAGTTTTAAATTGTATATTTTGTAAAACACTGTCACCTGCTCTGAGCCAGTTTCAAGGAGAGTGGGTTATAAATAAATAAAATCTTTCACAGACAGGTTTTCCTGCTGTTTGGGTGCTTAACTACAGTGTTTTTTCTTTGAGCTTCCTCACAGAGATGCCATTATCTGTTTGTCATCTTTTGTATAGTTTCCTCATTGTTCCTCCATGCCAGTCTCAAAATCAGCTCAAATGTGGTTTGAGAAAGCAAAGAGAAACAATGAGAGAACCCCAGAAAGACCAACAGTGACATTGTGAGGAAATTTAGAGAACACCAGCTGCAGTGTGGCATCCAAAAATACCCCTTAGAATAGGGGTGTTTCAAATACCTCGTGGTTCTTATTATCTATGAAACAGTGAAGGTTCAGCCTCTGAGATGGAAGGTCGTCAAGTTTGGCCCACACCCATTCAGCACCTCACCTGAAGCCATGACCCTCAAGCTCTTCACAGCTCCCCCCCAGGGAGCCCCGAGAGAGATGAAGCCTTGGACAAAATGGTCTTTCCAGTCCTGCGGCTGCTGGAGCAGAAAATACAGGATAAGAAGGTTGCCCAGGCTGTGGCCCATGAGGAAGACCCGTTTCTGGTAGGCATCGTGCATCTCCTCCACAAGAGCACGTAGGTTGTGGAAGTATTCCTCATGATCATCTGCAGAAATAAGATTGTTAGTCAGAGTTCTGGGCAGGGCCATCCAGACTGCACCACCAAACCCAATAGCTGCTAAGAACTACAGTAATTTTAGAGCCCCCAAACTGACCAGTACACTTCAAAGTCCCTTATACATTTTTAGAGGATACTGGGATGCAAGCAGCTGTTGAAAGTGGTTGCTTGAGAGAGGAGTCACCCAGTCCTTCTTCACACCTGGCCCAGTCCTGCTCTTTCCCCAAGGCAGCTGGGAACATGGAGGAGATCTCCTGCGAGTGCCAAGAACTAAGACAGTATTGGATTATACCTCATTGTCTCATATGAGGCTAAGGTTGGTTCCCCGTTCTTTATTTAATGTTCCTTTGACAAAACTTCAAAAAGCTCAGCACCCCAAAACAAGCCTTGGCCCACCACAAATCCTACATCCCCAGACGCAGAGGACTTGACCTTTCAAGAAGACCTGTGCTGTTCTACAGGCCACAGCCTGGTTTTAGTGTTTATTGCTCCAAAATGGGGAGCCCCTGGAGAAATAGAGATGTTAAGAAACTGGAGGCATCTGTAGCTCGAAGCAAGTTTAGTACCACCCCCGAATCTTACTTCCCCGTACTCTAAGGAGGACATAGAGTACCTTGACCCAAAGGCTTGTTTCTAGGCCAAAGGCTTCAAGATCTGGTTAAGTCTACGCACTTGGACTTGTTCAGCCTAGTTTCTGATAAGGCTTGTTAAATTCAGCTGGGCCATACTTACTGGGTCCAACCCTCCAGTCGTAAGGAGCAGCTCTCACCGTGTGATCTCGCACATAGCCATTATTGACCAGGTGTTGCACCAGGGTGTGCATATAACCTGCAGAAGGGGGGAAAGATCAATGAATTTGAATAAAAGTAAGGACAAGACTAGCTCTACTATTTCACTATATATTTTACTGTATATTATACTATAGGGTATTTTTATGTGTATTATACTATATAATATGCTATATATTTTACTATAGGGTAACCCAGAGTAGCCTAATCTCATCAGATCTTAGAAGCTAAAAAGCAGCAAGGAAGACTAAGGTTACTACATAGAGGAATGCCATGGCAAAGCATCTCCACTCACTTCTTGCCTTGAAAACCCTGTGAGGTAGAACTTTATGGGGTCGGCATGAGTTGGTTGCGACTTGATGGTACCTTTTATCCTTACTTACTATTTCACAGCTCTCTGATCTGCCTGGTTTTACCTTTGTCTACACTCAATTTTGGAGACATCTCCCTGGTTTTCCTGGTACCCGACACAGCAGTTGGGCCCAGTAGAGGCAACCCTTGATTACAAATGGGCACAACGTTTGCCCAATGGAAGTTTCCAAATTCAGTCATGTGTCCTCAAGTTTACTACATAATGGATGAGTGTGGCTAGATAAGATGTTTGCAGAACTTCCCAAATGAAATGCCAGTAAACCGTATTTACCTGTTTTTTGAATAGCAGGCTTCAGTCTAAATTGGACTCTCAAGCCTTTTAACAGAAGCCTTCAATGAAAGCTGCACCTTATAAGGAATGGGGAGAACTACCCCCATTCAATGAAGCTATTCAGTTTTAGTTGTTGGGTAGTTTTTTTGGTATTTTGTGTGTGTGTGTCGTTGTGAGCCTGGAAGTCATGGAGAGTTCTGGCAAACCCTGGTGGGGCTAGGACGTTTTCCAGAGAGGTGGTTGATTGCCTGCCTCTGCATCTTGGCCCTGGTATTCCTTGGATGTCTCCCTTCCAAGTACTTGCCAGGGTCGGCCCTGCTTAGCTTCTGAGATCTGACGAGATCGGCCTTGCCTGAGCTATCCAGGTCAGGGCAGTTTTACTTTATCTGTCCTCTTCCAAGGACCAGCACCAAGAGACCCTCCCTCCTGGGAGCGAGCACTTTTATTAAACCTCTGACTCCACCCATTTTACATCACTCTCTCCACCCCTTTTTGACCTGGTCCGCCCAGGTGCATCCAGGGAGCCCTCCTAGAAGGCATTCTGGGAAATCCCCAGGAGTCCCCTGGAGATTCCTAACACTAAATACTTCAGTAACTCTGCAAATGGAGTCATTTGCATAACTATGGCTGATGATTGACCTAGCTTCCTGCCCTTCCAGAGAGAAGAGGGGGAAAACAGGAACACTTTAAAAACTCGGGGGGGGGGGCGTTCTCCACATAGGGTCTGGATCTGTTCCCCTTAGGCCAAACCCATCACAAATCCATGTTCTCTCACATGTACACACACATTGCTGGCTGAACTCTGCTTCGTCCCCCCAGCAGTTGGGAGTATATCACAGCAGCAAGCATTTCTGCCACATCCCTGCATTGGAGATGTCCCATCTTGGAGATGGGTGGCAGCAGCACAAGCAGGTGTGCTAGGGTGATGAACCAACCCTGTAGACATACAGACTGTCCCTCCTCGCAAACACTGTTGAACAGTAGAATAGACTGACAGCATGTAAATTGCTTAGTCTTGGGAGATAGGGTTGAATTGCTTCTTTGGCACTGAAAGAGATCCCCTTACCAGCCAGTTTACTCTCGTCCAGGTATTCCACAGAGTAGGTTTTGCCAAACCCAGGGACTCGGACATGGACACCTGGTGCATTGGACATTCTCTGAGTGGTCCTGTTGTATACCACTCTGTAGGCAAAGGAGACAGCAGACATGGGTACAATGCCAAACACAGCCATCATTTCAGATTTGTTCTCACCTGACCACTCAAAACCCCAGGACTTACTTAAAAAAATATACAGCCACAAACCGCTGCAGTGGTCACCTCGTTGATGCACATGCTGCCCTCCGAGTTGCTGACCTTTCTCTCCCTCCATCTTGGCACCACTACTAGCTCTTCTCTGCCAGGCAGGTGACAGCCAGAAAGCAAGTTTAAGGCCGTCTACAAAGGTGAAGACTGGCCGCCAGCAGAGAAAGGGCTGGACTGGGTGCCATTCTACAGACTCTTTCAAGGGGCCAAAGGTAGGGTTCTCAACTCTGGCTGGGGGAGTTCCTGGGTATTTGGAGCCAATGTGTAGGGAGCTCAGTGGGGTATGCTGCCGCAGGGGCTGTACTGTGAAGCTACCATTTTCTCCAGGTAGGGTTACTATTACCGTATGTATTGTGTTGTATGGATAGCCTGAATTGTAGAATGAGCCTAAGCTTCAGTCACAAGCTCTATAGATTCTCAGTATCCTAAAATCAACAGCCTGATTGGCTGCCATGTGCAATGGACTTTTGGCAGGAGCAAACGTTATTGGTTCTAAGCGCTCACTTATGATTGGACCTTACTGTTCTAGGGGGTGCGGTTAGTCAGTTCCAAACTGTATATAAGTTGGGGTTGTTCTGTGTGTGTTGTTGTTGTTGTGTTCTGTTCTAATAAACTGAAATCACTGGTTGAAGAAAGAGCTGCCTAACCTCGAGTTACAACAGTTACCAGCCTCAAGCTGGGGCCTGGTGATCTCCTGGAGTTTACAACTGATCTCCATTCTACAGAGATCAGTTCCCCTGTAGGAAATGGCAGCTTCCAAAGGCAGGCTCTGGGGCATTACACCCCTGCTGAGCTTCCTCCTCAGGCCCTGCCTCCAAATCTCCAGGAATTTCCCAAGACAGAGCTGACATCTTTCAGTCCAGGCAGAGGAACTGATCTCTGTAGTCTGGAGATCAGTTGTAATTCGGGAAGAACTGCTGCTCTCTCCTCCCTCCCCCAAGAGCGGTAACACTGGCCAGGGGGAGGAAATGTGGAGCTCTGACCTCCTCCCAGCCCCGTAGCTACGGGTTTTGGGGGGAGGGGGCCCTGCCCCCCCACCAGCTAATTAAATCAAAGGCTCCCGGGCAAGGGAGGTCTGCTTGGTGTGCACCCACACAGCCCCCACTAGAGCCTTTCTCAGGCGAGCCAGAATCCCAGTGTTAATAGACACTAAGGCTCCTCAGAGGTCTAGCAAAGCTGCCCTGTGTTTTGGTGTGTTTTTTAAAAGGAGAGCGGGGATGACGCTTCCTCCCTCACTCCTTCCCGGAGCCGACAATCTTTTCCTAAACCCAGGCCCGTAGCTACATTGAAGCATTCTGGGGCCCGCCCGCCCCCCCGACTTCCTACCAAGGCCCCACAGCTTCTCCACCTGTCAGCAGCTCCACAGGCTCCATCCTGGCCTGGTGGCCGAAACTGGCAGAATCAATTTCAGCGGGCAGAAAGACTCCCGCATGTCAATTTCAGCAGTAGGAGCCCACTGGGGAGTCTTTCCGCCAGCCGAATGTCAATTTCGGCCCTATTATATCCTATGGGCCATTGAAGTCAATGGCGAAAACATAGGGTATATTCTAGGGGGCTGGAGGGAGGTGGCTTGAGGGAGAGGCTCCAAACTCACAGGATAGCTACTGGAGCCTCTCCCCAAGATACCCACCAAGTTTCAAGAACATTGGATCAGGGGGTCCAATTCTACGGGCTCCCAAACAGGTTGCCCCCATCCCCTCCATTCTCTATGGTGGGGAAAATGTTACCTGGCCCATAGGATATACTGGGGTCGATTCAAATCAGAGAATTTGAATCGGCCCATAGCAGCCTAAAAGAGCCCAAATGGGCCATTTTCGGGGGTGGGGGCATTCGGTTCAGACGAACCGAATGCAGCATCCCTAAACCACAGCATGAAGCGATGCAAGGCAGCCAGGTGAGCGGGCTGGCAGATGAGGTGTGGCCAGGGAACTGTGGGTCCTGTGACTGAACCTGCAAACACAGAGATTTCTCCCCTTCTCCCTCCAGTGCAAGACTGCAGACCTCGCTCGCTTGCATGTGCCTGTGCCCTCATCGCTGAGGAAGCTGGCCGCCAAGGGAGAGAGAAACACAGCACTCCCTCAGCTTCCCCTCCCGGGAAAGAAATAAGGAACCGAACAGGAGCCCGCCACTTTCGCCATAGTTCCCTGCACTCCACACAGCCACTGCGGTTGCGAGGGAAATGAGAGGAGGAGGGGATCCTCCGCAAGTTACTCGGAGTCAGTGACTGACTTCCACTTACACCCACCCTCCACAATAGGGGAAATAACCCTGCTCCTGCCTGCGAGTGTGAGTTTATTTTATTTTATTTTATCAGTGCCCCCTGACTTATTTAAAGGCCCCCTGAATTAAGAAATTCTGGCTACGGGCCTGCCTAAACCTGGCAGAAAATCCAACAGGAGGAGCAAACTGCGGCAATCCGACCAATGTGTGTGTGACTCTATCAACCACCGGTTGCTGCTGCGTCCTGAAGAGAGACATCTCATCACAGATGAGCCCAAACAGAGAGATGAAGGGGGTGAAGGGGCCGGAGGAGGAGCTGAGGATCGTGGGAGGGGCCCGCAAAAACAGCGGGGGGGGGCATGGACCCCACGTTAGCTACGGGCCTGCCTCCTCCCCATAATGGCTGTGGGAAGAGTGTCCATGTGGATGTTCTACCCCAGTCACCCCACAGGTCCTCCTTTGAACTAAATCAGAGGAGGCTTTCCTTTGATCTGGTTCAAAGGGGAAAGCCCAGGGAGGACCACGAGTCATGCTGAGAATGGAGATAAGGTCTTATGAATGCAGTACTTTAAATCAGTGCTTCCTTTGTTCCCTGAGGGGAGAAATCCCTGTGTGGAGGCTGCCACAGTTGGTAGCTGTGGGATCCAATTTCCTCATTATGCGCCCTGAATCTGTACCTCATACAAGAGCTTTCCTATTAAGTAGTACAGCACTTCAGGTCGAATGTCTCTCTCAGTATAGGCGCACCTACCTGGTATTGTCAATCCAACAGTCCACCCCCAGGGGCAGGAACATGTTGAGGTTCAGCCAGATGGTGAAGTAGTCCTCCGTTTTGCGATAACACATCCAATTGACCACATCCGGCTTGTCTAGCTTGGCCTCTAATTGGTTCCCAAGGCAACCAGGCACTGCAGGACCACAGAGAGAAAGAGAGAGAGAGATGTCTAAGCAACGGGTTTAATAGATTGGTTTCTATGTCCTGAGGAGACTGTGGTTATGTAGCTGTGTATGTGTAGAGGCCATTGCTGTACAAGTTGAAGACACAGAAGTAAGGTTGCCATCTTTTGACTTCCCTCCTCACCTCCCGTGCTTTCCGTACTAGTGAAACAGAGAGATGTGCTTGGAATAACTTCACCAGCTACATTCATTTTTATTTGTATTTATTTACTTTATCTACATTATTTATAGTCCAACTTTCTCACTGGAATTCAAGGAGGGTTGCCAGCCTCCAGGTAGCACTTGGATATCTCCCGCTATTGCAACTGATCTCCGGACAACCAAGATCAGTTCCCCTGGAGAATGGTTGCTTTGGAGGGCGTTTATTGAGGCCCCTCCCCTCCCCAAACCCCGCCTTCCCCAGGCTCCACCCCCCAAATATCCAGGTATCATCTGGAGCTGGCGACCCTAGACTCAAGTTGGATTACACAGAGTTAAGTAAATACAATCAAAATGATGAGACATTCAATAGGATTGATTGTATTTCTGCATGTCGGGCTGCTATGGAAACCACAAAAACAGCAGGAGGGGGATCTACTAAAATGATGGTGACCTTGATCTTACCATTTGTTTTCATGGTTGAGGGAATCTTCTGCTCGTACACATGAACCACACATAAAGCAGTCTTGCGCTGAATCAGACCGCTGTTTCCATCAAGGTGAGTATTGTCTACTCAAGACTGGCAGTGGCTCTCCAGGGTCTCAGGCAGATGTTCTTCATGTCATCTGCTATTACCTCATCCTTTCCACTGGAGCTGCCAGGGATTGAACCTGGGACTTTCTGCATGTCAAGCAGGTAGTCTACCACTGAGCCACAGCCCCTCCCCTCGAGTCTAAAGCACTTGTCTAGTCCAGTCTCTAGCCTAAAGCACTTGTCAGGCGTCCCAGCAGTTGCCGGCTGTCTGTGTTTCTCTCGGAATCCAACCTCATGTTGAGGGAAGTGAAATAGTTAAAATGAGCTGAAGCAGCTATGAGGTAAGGAACAATCTGTCTGAAAAGGCAAAACACAGTTGCAGAACTAAAGAGAAGATGAGGGGGGGGGGGAATGTGAACAAGCCAAGATGGTGAAATAGAGCACTAACCAACTATGCATGTGCAATACCTTCATGAATATTATGTAGCTAATTTTAATGCACACGCAGGGCTATTTTTGGGCAGGAACGCACAGGAATGGAGTTCCGGCTGGCTTCAGAGTTGGCCACGCCCACTACACCCAAAACCACTGCGTGTGCCTGGCTACAGAGGGAAGGCCTGGACAGCGACCCCCCCCCAGCAAACGCGCCCCCCCCCCCCAGCAACCCCGAGGCGGGCGGGCCTGGGGGGGGGGCTGGAAAGATCGGGCCTGTCCACTTGCGCCTTCCCTTCCCTCCAAAGGCTGGCTTGCCCGGGCTCTCCGCAGCCACAGGGCACCCAGGGAAGCCAAGGGAGGCATGGGGGTGTGGCCTAATATGCGAATGAGCTGTGTTGTCGGGGTGTGTGGCCTAATATGCTAATTAGTTTCTGCTGCTGGGTATGGCCTATTATGCTGATGAGTTCCTGCTGGGCTTTTTCTACAAAAAAAGCCCTGTGCACACGCAATGTATGTTGATGTATGTTTGGGAGGGGAACAAACTAATATGTAGAAGGCGGTTGGAAAGAATGTAACCTTCGATACCTTGGCCTGTGGGAACGAAGGAGGGACTTTGGGGTGGGTGGGTAGGGAGTATAAAATTGAACCGTTTGGAATGTTCTGGGAGCTCGCCTTTGTTCGACTCCCTTTATTGCATCATAAAGCACAACTATAAGATACTCCAGACTGACTTTCTTTTCTTTGATGTGTTCCTTGGAGTGGCCAAGGAAGACAGACTTTGTTTCAGTGTGAATCTTGGAAATGTGCATACTCTCTACTGCAATGGGAAAAGATTTGGTCACCCAGTCCCCGGGTCTCGGTGCCTTTAAAAACAGGGAAGGTTGACTTATGTCTGGGGGGCCTGCTTGTTCTCTGGACCATGCCTTCGGCTTTTGATGGATTTCATCAGATGAAAGGCTGTGGGCAGAGAGAGTCTTTGTAAACCTACACTCCTACTGTGTCTTTGAACTGCAGGTCAGGAGCCTCTTGCTTCTGGCCAGGATTCCTGGACTTGGGGATGTAACTTCCCATAAACTGCATCAGGCAAGTCCGAGAATACTGGCCAGGCACAGATTGTGTCACCTCTCTCTTCACTGCACAGAAACCTGAGAAGTTTCCCATCCTATAAAAGAGAGGAGAGGACCAGAAAATGCTTTCATCTCCTTGCTGTAACTTTGAAGTTTCCAATGGTGGGCAAGCATGTTGAAATCCCTGATTTGCTGGATTACAAAACAAAAACTACAGTGAATTGAGGTTTAAGAAACCCACAGGCTACAGGTTGTATAAAGTCTGGAGTTGTGGGTATATGACTAGGCCTGATCCTCTGAATCAAGCAGAGACTCTGGGATTTGCACACACACACAAATAAGAAACTAATTGCCACATAAGCTATTAACCCATTAGTTGGCAGGTGTCAACATGGCTTGGATTTGGTCTGTTGGAAAATAGACTTATAATGTCTAGAACCCTGTGCTTAACCAGAAATGAATCTTGTTGTTTTTAACCATCTTGGGACAAGCCTTGTGTTTTATACCGATTTTATTTATGTTATGCTTGTTTGCATGCCATGCAGTATTGATTCCCTAAACATTTTCTGTTTTACTGCATTATTATGCTTGTGGAATTAACAGTGCAAATCCTATGCAGCGTTTCATCCTGAAGTCTGTTTAGAGTTCCTTGCTATACCCTCTCTGTCTACACACAAACAATCTCTTGTACTCTTGCTGCTGTACCCAAATATTGTCTGGATTTTTAACAGAAAGGAAGTGACGCATCCCCAAATAAATATAAACATTTAGGTGATCGCTGGCTTTGTGAGTTCTTGAATGGTTACGAGAACTGCCTGGGATGTAAGGCAACGAGGGGAGCAAAATATTTTAAAACCCTGTGTGACTTCCAGGTTTCCTTATACGTTTGCATCTGGTTTACTGGGAAAGTTTGAGACACTTCAACAGAATCTACAACAATGGTCTACATCAGTAACTCTTTACTGGGGCCCTATTCCCCCCCCCCACACACACACACACCAAGGGCAATCTACAAATCTTGAGCACAGGATGTTTAGGAGGGGGGGGAACACACAGGATTTGTAGGCAGTCTTCTCTCCCCCCTTGCAACGGTTTCAAACAGCCAGCAGAGGAGACTTGTTTGATATTTCTCACCCCACTATGAAGATAAAAGCCTAGATCCTGGATTTCTCCCTCAGGCCATTCAAAAGTGGCACATGGCAAACAGGAATTGAACTGAACATTAAGGAGTTGGCTGATGGCCCTCCATCACAAGGGTCTTCTTTGATGTATGCCCACTACGACCTGAGTATTCCATGCATATATCATAAATAAACCAATAAACATTTGCCTTGTCTGGAGTGCTGTAGCTAGGGAGACATTTGATACACTGCATACTTGCATACAAATTACGCATTAAGAACTAAAAGCCCAGATGGAAACATTCTTGCATGGGCAGATCATAAATCATAAAACTGAACCCCTTTCCTAAGATTTGTGGGTTGGAGTTATTGTTGTTGTTTACTGATCAATGTCCTTCATGCAGTAAGTCTTTTTTCAAAAATAAAATAAAAATTACAGAAAGCATTTTTTAAGTTTCATTTGGGAGGGTCATATGATATGGACACCTTGTAATTTCCCTTGTTTGGGAGAAAAGCCGCAGGGTGAGTGATGTTGAGCAAACAAATAGCTGGCCAGGAATGGGTGTCCTGAGCAGAAGATTAGAATGTTTTCACAGGCCCAGGAAAGATACAGTAGATTCATTTCCAGCCTCAAGAAAGGTCTTAGTACCTCATAAGTCATAACTAGTGTTCCCTCTAAGCTGAGTTAGTGTGAGCTAGCTCACAGGTTCTTAGCCTCTGGCTCACACCTTTTTGTCTTAGCTTAGCAAGTATGGCTCCAGAGCAAGCTAATTTACTCAGTAGCCAAATCGCTCGCTCACAACTTTAAGGCCAGGAGTTCAAAAGTAGAATTTTTGCTCACAAGACTCCACAGCTTAGAGGGAGCATTGCTCATAACCCAAGGTAACTGAATACTGTGTGTGTCCTGTCTTTAATGCAGATTCTCTAACTTTTAAAAGTGATTCCTACTTCTAGACTTATCATACTTTGGGGGAATCCACTTGTAAACTGACTCCCATGCTACTTTGGCCCTCCTTAACCTAAAATGCAGTGTTAACATCTGTCAATACCAAACAAAGCTTTATTTTTTAAAATATTTTGTATCAGTAACTATACAGCGTTACAGAGCAACAAGCTATATTTCATGGCATATTATGTGGACTCAAATCCAGATTTGCTTTTGAGCCCCCCCAAAGCCTCCTTTCCCAGCTAAGCCTGTTCCAGGGCTGCCAACTTCTAGGCAGGGCCAGGAGTTTCCCAAGAATGACAACTGATCTCCAGACAACAGTGATCATACCCTGTGGCATCACATCATGCCTCAGGCTCCCTCCTCAAGCCCAACCCCCAAGGCACCACCCCCATGCCCCCCAGTGCTGGAAACCCTACCCTGTTCTTCTTTACTGCTGGCCTTCCAACCCACCATTTGAGAAGCACTGCTCTATGGTAATCAGAGAGAGGCCGTGTGGTGTAGGGGCTGGAGTGTCAGCCTAAGATCTGAGAGGCGGGTTCAAATCCCGCCTCTGCCCTGGAAGCTTGTTTGGTTACCCCAAGCCAGTCACTCTCTTGCAGCCTAATCAGAGGCAGGGGCAGGCCCACTATGAAACTAATGAAGTTTAAGCTTCAGGGCCCCCAATCCTGGAGGGGCCCTGAAGCAACTTTCTTTTCACAGGGTGAATTTTTCAACAAAATTGATGTTGGTTTTTTTTTAAGTGCTCGTTATTAAAATAAGGCTATTTTAGTGACAGAATCATAAGCCAATGGGTCAAATGTGCTCTAATACCTGTTTCATATGGTCTCAAAATGTCCTCAAACTGGTCAAATGTCAGAATCTAAGGAGGGGCCCCCATAACAGTTCAAGCTTCAGGGTCCACCACTGATCAGAGGGTTGTACAGATAGAAGGGGCGGGTGGATGAATGGAACCAGCAAAAATGGACCTGTTGGCTGGGCAGCTGTGCCTCCAACTAAGAAGGAAGGAAACAGGAAGCCCCTTCTCATTTTACAAGCTCTGTGGAACAAACGCAGAATAAAAATGTGATAAACAGAAACTGTGAGAGAGAGTCTCTCAGGGGTCTCACAGCTGCAATGTCAGTGGATCCATTTTTTTTTTGCTTCCTGGGCAAACAAAGCAAAGTCCAGCTAGAGTCATTTGTCAGAATGAAATTGTGCAAGGAAATAATCTCACAGACGGGTCAATAGGGAATCAGAAACAAGGGGACAGATCCCAGAGGACAGTAGAAAGACTCTCTCAAAGTAGGTTAAAGGTGGTGAAGCGAAGGTTGCCAGATTCAGTCTGGGACAGGGCTCTGCCTTTAACCAAAGGGGGCACTATGGAAACATGGCTTCACCTGTATCTCCAATGACAAGGATGACATCAATGTGGTGTAGTGGTTAGAGTATTGGGCCAGGATCTGGGAGACCCAGGTTCAAATCCTCACTCCGCCATGGAAGCTGGCTGGGTGACCTTGGGCCAGTCACACACTCTCAGCCTAATTTACCTCACAGGGTTGTTGTGAGGATAAAAGAGAGGAGAGGAGGAGGAGGAGGAGATTGGATTCATACCTTGCCCTTCAATACCCAAAGGAGTCTCAGAACAGCTTACAATCCCTTTCCCTTCCGCTCCCCAAAACAGCCACCCTGTGAGGTAGGTGGGGCTGAGAGAGCTCTCTCAAGAACTGCCCTTGAGAGAACAGCTCTGAGAGAATTTATGATTTACCCAAAGTCACACCAGCAGCTGCATGTGAAGGAATGGTGAATCAAATCACTTTGGATCCCCATTGCGGAGAAAGGTGGGGTATAAATGAGTAAATAAATGCATCAGCAAAATTTGACTCTTCTTTGCATTGCCGCAGTGGTCCTCTGAAATCTACTCACCAATATTTCCCATCCCAGATTATGAATTCAGACTATAAAAGAACTTGTTATCTTATAATTTTCTGTCTTCTTTGTTCTGTTCCAGGCTATTGCTCTATCTAGAATCATGTGTCTCTCTCAGGGAGAGGAATTGCTTCCTTGGGCATACCAGTATGAGAATTTCCTATGGATCAGCACTGAAATTGGACTGAAAATCATTTGAAAAAGATTTCAAGATCACCCCTGGGAAGCCAAAAAGCAGGCAGGTGACCCTGCCGCTCCCGGCAGTACAGGAACGGGCAAAGTTTACTCCATCAGGAGCACAGTGTGCATGGACTGTGACATCAGAATGCAATGGTCCTGCTGGGACATGCAGGGGATTATCAGGTGAGCGAGGGAGAAGGGAGACATCAGCTATCACCATGCGCAGCACCTCTCCTATGGGACTATTTGTGGTTGTCTCAGAATATCGGAGAAGACCCTGATGGTGGGAAAGATCAAAGGTCAAAGAAGAAGGGGACGGCAAAGGATGAGATGGTTAGACAGTGTTATCGAGGCAACGGACATGAAATTAAGCAAACGCTGGAGCACGACGGAATACAGGAGGGCCTGGCGTGATGTGGTCCGTAGGGTCGCGAAGAGTCGGACTCGACTGTGCAACTGAACAACAGCAGCATATTCATGTGGGCTATCCAGATGGGCCTTGGCAATTCAGGGTCTCTGGCTCATATGCTGAGAAGAGGGGCACAATTTGGTCCTGAAGGCAAGCAGTTTGAGGCTGGAGAACTAGGGCACGAGAAGAAAGTTTTCCAAAGGTGGTTGACATGGTCTTCAATCTGTCACCACATCCCAAATGCTCCTGCGTCTGCCTCCTTCAAACTGTTTTAAGAGAGTGGGAGGAAGAAATCGATTGCTCAGAAGGAGGGGAGCTTGGGAGTTTGCAGCCTTTCCTCCGGGAAAGATACCCTGACTTCCAGGACTTGCCTAAGTAGACATTGCTACTTTCCTCAGGTGATGCATTTTCCCCAGCTATGTCCCAGGGTTTGTTTGTTTTTTGGGTTTTTTTTTTTGGGGGGGTTGTGCCCTTCAGACCTGTGCAGATCCAGTTTAAATTGGGACTGTGTAAAGCCCCCAAGCCCCCGGTAGAGTCTGGAATTCTCCTGGAATTCAACTGATCTACAGCTGAAGAAGATATCTGTTGTCCAGAGAAAATGGCAGCTCTAGAGGGTGGGCTCTACGGCATCACATCCTCCCCGAGCTCCCTCCCCTCCACAGCCTCTGCCATCCCGTCTGCCCCAAAACTGCCAGCAATTTCCCAAGCTGGAGTTGGCAAATGATAGGGAAGAGGGTTGCCAAGAGGTCCTGGAGATCTCTTGGAATTACAACCGATCTCAGAGGAGAGAGATCAGTTCTCCTGGAGAAAGTAACTGCTTTGGAGGATGGGCTCTGTGGGGCACTGGGAAATCTAGGGGGGGGTGGAGGGAGGGGGGGAGCAGTGGGGAGAGAGAGAGAGATCCCATCAGCAGGCAGGCAGGTAAAGAAGAGAAAGGTCTTTGCTTACCTGCCGGCCGCACTTGTTCGCCTCAGCAACTACAGGAGAGGTACGGCCAGTGGGCCGGTGCGATTAATACTCAGGGATTATGTGTTCTGTGCTACAGTAGCTGCAGGCCTCACCTGCCCACTACTGTAGCAGAGAGTGCATACTCACCAAGTATTGATTGCGCTGGCCAGTTGGTTCTCCCCCTGCAGTGGCTGAGGCGAACAAGTGCGACCAGCAGGTAAGGGAAAGGGCAGGGGCAGTGGAAATCATGGGGCATGAGTGAGGGGGCACTGGCCCACGGTGATTACAGGGCTGCCCATCTCCCAAATGCCCATGAATTTCCCAACTTGGAGTTGGCAATCCTAAGAGAGCACTTAGGTTTCTCCCTCTCCTATGCCGTTTGCTGGACCTGAAACGGCTCCAAGTAACCACTGTGTGCCATGTTAGGGACTGCACATCTACTGTATTTTTAAATGTTGTAAGCCACCCTGAGTCCCTTGTGGGGAGAGGGTGTGAGGGATCAGCGTTCCCTCTAAGATGAGCTAGTGTGAGCTAGCTCACAGTTTTTTAGCCTCCGGCTCACACATTTTTGTCTTAGTTCAGGAAGGATGGCTCCAGAGCAAAATAATTTATGCAGTAGCCAAATCACCCCTCACAACTTTAATGCCAGTTGCTCACAAAGTAGAATTTTTGCTCACAAGAGTCCACAGCTTAGAGAGGGCATTGGTGGGGGCTTAAATCCAATAAATAAAAACTGCAGAAGTACATGTTGGTTTCCCTGCTGGAGCAAATATGAGCATCCCCCAAGCTATTTCAGGCCTGGAAAACACTGAGGAAAGGGAGCCCAGGGCACCTGGAAGGCTGACTCCCAGACCATGTCTACTGACCTGACCCACAGAGGTACCTCAGAAAAATATATTGTTAGGCCCTAGTTCAGGGAACCACCAATGGCTTTGTGACATCATGTCTGTCATTACACCAATCCCTGTTCTCCCCTCAAAACTATTTGTACACCTAGCAACTTATACCTCTTACCCAAGCCCAGTGACAAAGACCAGCATATTTAGGCCAGTTTGGTGTAGTGGTTAAGTGCATGGACTCTAATCTGGGAGAGAACCGGGTTTGATTCCCCACTCCTCCACTTGAACCCGCTGGATGACCTTGGGCAAGCCATAGTTCTAATAAGAGCTGTCCTTGAAAAAGAACAGTTTCTGTCAGAGCTCTCTGAGCCCCACCTACCTCACAGGGTGTCTGTTGTGGGGAGGGGAAGGGAAAAGAGTTTGTAAGCTGCTCTGAGACACCTTTGGGTAGTCAAGGGCAGTGTATAAATCCCAATCTCTTCTTCTTCTTCTAACATGCCTTGCTGAGTCACCACAGGCCAGCTAATCCATATTGTATTCCCACCATACAGTAGACATTCCACAAGAACAGGATACCGTTCAAGAAACCCATCCCCTCCAGGTCCCTCAGTGAGATATGCCTGGTCTTGAACGTCTCTCACAGGGAGCAGAAGTAAAAACATATGGACTCCTTGATCCTGGCATGTTCCTTTTTAACTCCACGTGTCTTGAGAGGAACCCTGTGCTGTCCCATCATGGCAAGTGCCTGGGCAGTCCAGGCCAGCTAGGCTAAACCCAGGATTGCCATCTCTGAATTGGGGGAACCCTGGTCAATTCAGGGTGGAAACTGGGGAGGGGAGGGCCGGGGGGGGAGGAAGAACCTCAGTCCCCCCCCCCCAAGCATCTATTTTCTTCGGGGAAACTGATCTCTGTCATCTGGAGATTGATTGTAATTACTCTGGAAGGTGGCAATCCTAGCCAGTGTTCCCTCTAAGCTGAGTTAGTGTGAGCCAGCTCACAGTCTTTTAGCCTCTGGTTCACTCATTTTTGTCTTCACTCAGGAAGGATGGCTCCAGATCAAACTAATTGATGCAGCAGGCGAATCGCTGGCTCACGACTTTAATGCCAGTAGCTCACCAAGTAGGATTTTTGCTCACAAGACTCCACAGCTGAGAGGCAGCATTGATCCTAGCTAGCCAATCATCTCATGCCCCCTCCCTCCCCACACCGGACCATGTGCCAAGGCTCAAGCCTTGCCTGCAAAGGTCTGCCACACCCCCTCCTGATCACCACAGGCCATGCCGTGTATCCCACACCAAGCTTTGCCCAACTTACCAAGCACTACCGGAGGGGTATTGTTGGCGAGAGCGACTTCCGGGGTGGAACTGGGTGGGAAGAGCACATCCAAGAGCCAGAATGGGCTCACAGGCTGGAAGAGGAACAGGAAAAGTGCTGCAGACCCAAGGAAGCTCCCCATCGTGAGCTCTGCTTGGCCGGTCAGCTTGCTTCAGGACAGTCTCTTAAATGCAGCAGGCTACTGAGAGGCGGAGGGGAGGTGGGGAATCATTAGCAGATGCTGGGCTTAGTTCAGCCCAGAAGGGCTGTCTGACGTGCCTCTCGGCCCCAGCCCGTATACACACTGGCGAGGGGAAGTGTGTGTGCTGCGTTTGCAGAAAAGAGCATCCAAAAGGTGGATGTTGGAATGTGAAAAGCTTCCCCCCCTCCAGGGACCTCTGCAAGAACTCCCTATCATAATCAAAACCAGATGCATCCAAGGTCCAGCTCATATGAATGTAGCTCGAAGCCATTTCTGTTCCCCAGCTTTCAACTGCATATCTGCCACTCTGAAGGAGATTCTTTCCAAAGGTTTCACATTCCTCACTGTGTATTTTTCACTAACCAAAGGTCTGTTTGCATCACGCTTTGGCCTTGGATACACCATAACGTTTTCAGCAAATGGCAAATACACTAAAAATTATACATCACAGGGAAAAAACCCTCTGAAGTTTTGTTTGTGCTAGCAGGTATGCAGAGAGGTGAATGTACACCCCTCGAAGCATTGTGCCTTTTGGGAAGCACCTTCTAGTATGGCCATTTAGTAACACGGGATTTCAGCTGTAACCATTTCAGTGTATGCCTCTAAACTGTAACAAAGCAACTGGTGGTGTCCAGGGGAAGAACTCAGAATGCATCATTAAAAAAACATGCACTTGGAATATATTTTTAGCAACGCTTGCCTAAGAAAAGGGTACTGGAGTTCAACTCTGTTTTCTGTGACTTTGCACATGATGGGGGAGTCTGGTGCCAGAAGTATTTAGATTCAGTCAGAATCTCATTTGCAGGTTTGCTTTCCCTTTGTCTCACACACTTCTTTAACTCAGAGGTGTCCAACTAATTTTTTATGAGGGCCGGATCTGACATAAATGTCACTTTGTCGGGCTGGGCCGTGTGTGGCATAAAATGTAACACCAGGTACTGGAGATATAAATTTTATAAAGGACACAGGTAAACCCAATTAACAATATTATTTTTACTCAAAATACAAATAAAAGCAATTGATTCCTAGCAGTGAAAGCAATTGATTTACTGGGAAACCTACAAAATCCCCAGTAAATGTATTTAATGATATGCAAGACTAGTTTTCCCCCCCCAAGGGATACCATAAAGGGGTGGGGGTACCTTCCATTTCCATACATACCAGCTGCTTGCGGGCCAGGTAACAGCCCTGGACGGGCCAACTTTGGTCCCTGGGCCTTTTGTTCGACACCCCTGCTTTAACCCATACATGTACACCACCATGTTCTTCTTTTATGGACTCTGTGGGGAAATGTACTTTGGAGGTTTGGACTGTACAAAAACTTCACCTTGAGTTTTAAAAACTTTTTCTCACTCTTGACAGAGAGTAGGGAGGAGCATGGGAAATCAACTGCTCTCCAGCCTCACTCAACCAGGCTTTATAAATGCCAATGGGAGGCTAGGCTAGAGACAATTATGTGGTATGTTTGCATCCTCAGCAAAAAGCTGACACCTTGCAGGGAACGGAGACTGGGAAGAGTGAAGGGGCTTCAAGAAAAGCTTTTTTGACCATCGGGTGGGCTAAAGAGAGAAAATAAAACTGCTTGGCACAGAGGGGAAAGTCTCTCTTTTTTTTTTTGCTGATTCCATCAAGGCAGATGGAGCTCTCACCTGAGCTCCTGCTGAAGGTGGCCATTGCCATGTGGGTGACTGCAGACCCGACCAAAGACTCCAAGGTAATGGGAGTTTTTTTAGAACTACTGTAACTTCTAACTTAAGGATATTCTAACTTAGAATAACATCAGCTAGGACATTTGCACAAGAATATAAGAGAAGCCATATTAGATCAGGCCAGTGGCCCATCTAGTCCAACATGCTGTGTCACACAGTGGCCAAAACTCAGGTGCCATTGGGAGGTCCACCAGTGTGGCTGGAACTCCAGAAGCCCTCCCACTGTTGCTCTGCAAACACCAAGAATACGGAGCATCACTGCCACAGACATAGTGTTCCATCTATTCCTTGTGGCTAATAGCCACAGATGGACCTCTGTTCCATGTATTTATCCAATCCTCTCTTGAAGCTGTCTATGCTTGTAGCCGCCACCACCACCACCTCTTGCGGCAATGAATTCCATGTGTTAATTAGTCTTTGGGTGAAGAAGTACTTCCTTTTATCTGTTCTAAACCTACTGCTCATTAATTTCATTGAGTCCCCGCAAGTTCTTGTATTGTGAGAAAGGAAGAAAATTACTTTCTCTGCCTTTTCTATCCCATGCATAATTTTGTAAACCTCTATCATGTCTCCCATCAATCATCGTTTCTCCAAGCTAAAGAGCCCTAACCTCTTTAACCTTTCTTCATAGGGAAGGTGTTCCATCCCTTTAATCATTTTAGTTACCCTTTTCTGCACTTTTTCCAATGCTGTCTTTTTGAGGTGTGGTGACCAGAACTGTGCACAATATTCCAAATGAGGTTGCACCATCGATTTATACAGCCGCATTATGACATTGGCTGTTTTGTTTTCAATCCCCTTCCTAATAATTCCCAGCAAAGCATTTGCTTTGTTTATTGCAGTCGCACACTGAGTTGATATTTCCAGGGAGTTATCGACCATGATTCCAAGATCTCTCTCCTGGTCTGTCTCCGCCAGTTCGGATCCCGTCAACGTATATTTACAGTTAGGATATTTGGCTTCAATGTGCATCACTTTCCACTTGCCCACATTGAACCTCATTTGCCATGTTGATGCCCAGCCTCAACAAATCACTCTGGAGCACCTTACAATCTTCCCTGGTTCTCACTGCCATGAATAACTTAGTGTCATCCACAAATTTAGCCACTTTACTGCTTACTCCCAACTCCAAATCATTAATGATCAAATTAAAAAGCATTTGACTTAGAACCAAGCTTTGTGGTACTCCACTGCTTACCACCCTCCACTGTGAAAACTGCCCATTTATACTTACTCTCTATGTCTTGTTGATTAACCAATTTTTAATCCACAAGAAGACTTGTCCTCTTATCCCATAACTGCTGAGTTTACTTCGGAGCCTTTGATGAGGAACTTTATCTAAAGCTTTCTGGAAGTCTAGGTAAACAACATCTACTGGGTCACCATTGTCCATTGTTCACCCCCCCCCAACTCTAAAAGGTTAGTGAGACAAGATTTTCAGACTGCAAAGTGAGGAGACAAAGGAATTGCAAGTTTATACCTTTCTTTGGAATCTCTTCCTCAGTCCGTTGCTGTGCTAAAAGTATGTGTGTGGGCATTTTCTTTGTAATAAATGTTTTTTAAAACACTGGCAGCTGTTCTGTATGCCACCTAAACCTCCACTGTTCAAACATGCTATTTTTAAGACCAGCACCGGGGGGGGGGGTCAGTTGGTAAGTGGCTAATCCCTCAATGGTACACAAGTGTAGCAAGTGGTACCCGAGGTAGTGGGGGGCACAGGGACAAGGTGGGGCCTTAGAGCAGCACTGGAGGGGAGGGAAGCCAGAAGCCCTGCCCCTCTCAGTGGGCAATTCCTACAAAGGCTGGGGGGCAATGTTCCCTCTAAGCTGTGGAGTCTTGTGAGCAACAATTCTACTTTGTGAGCTACTGGCATTAAAGTTGTGAGGAAGCAATTTGGCTACTGCATAAATTAATTTGCTCTGGAGCCATCCTTCCTGAGCGAAGACAAAAATGTGTGAGCCAGAGGCTAAACACCTGTGAGCTAGCTCACACCAACTCAGCTTAGAGGGAACACTGCTGGGGGGTGGTAATGGGTGAAGCAAAAGTGGGAGAAAAAAGCTCCTCAAGGCCACAGCCTCAACACTGATTCTTGACCAACAGGGGTGATGCACTCTACAAAACGCACACGAGTCTATCGACAGAAGCATGGTAGTAAACTTGAAGTAGGCCTGTGTGGGGTATCACACTGATGTTCTGCACATAAGAGCCAGCATGGTGTACGGTTAAAGTGTCGGACTAGGATCTGAGAAATCCAGGTCCGAATCCCCACTTGTGTCACGGAAGCTAGCTGGGTGACCTAGGGCCAGTCACACACCCTCAGCCTAACCCTATCTCGCAGGTTTGTTGTGAGGAGAAAATGACATTAAAAAAAACACCATAATTTCAGCCCCTCTTAGTCTTGCCACCTGAAATCCTTGTAAATGAAGACATGAGGGTTGATATATTTTATTTTACTTCATTTTATACCCTGCCTTTCTCCCCACTGGGGACCCAAAACAGCTAACATCCTCCCCCTCCCTCTGTTTTATCCTCACAACGACCCTGTGAGGTAGGTTAGGCTGAGGGTGTATGACTGGTCCAAAGTCACCCAGCTAACTCCAAAGGCAGAGTGGGGATTTGCACCTGGATCTCCCTACTTTGATGCTGTAACCACTACACCACACTGGTTCAGCTTTCCAACTCTGCAGGAGAACCAAGACTGAAGCCCAAATACTGCAAGAGACCTTTTGGAGACTGTGCCTCACTGCTTCGTTGACACCCAGGGAACTGCTTTGGTTTCTGCAGTCAGGCCTTGGCGCAACCAAGTCAACGTAACAGGTGACCTGGGCCAGAAATGGACAGGCTTTTGAGAGCAAGGAAGTGGTCTGAGAGAGAACCCCTTCACAAGGTGCGCATGCACTTCTTTTGTATGCCATCATCTCTGATCAAGTAGTTTTTTGAAATAGTCTAAAACCCACAAAATATAATCAGCATCCAGAGTGAGATGAATGTATATGAAGAAGAGTTGGATTTATACCCCACCCTTCACCCAGATATGGAGCTGCGGTGGCTCAAGTGGTTAAGACGCTGAACTGCAGGCTGTGGAAGGTCAGTAGTTCAGTGGTTCAAGACCCGGATGCCGCAAGACAGGGTGAGCTCCTGTCTCTAGTTCCAGCTCCTGCCAACCTAGCAGTTCGAAAGCAAGAAATTGCAAGTAGATAAATAGGGACCACTTCGGTGGGAAGGTAACAGCGTTCCGTGCGCCTTGGTGTTTAGTCATGCCGGCCACATGACCACAGAAATGTCTTCGGACAGCGCTGGCTCTTCGGCTTTGAAACGGAGATGAGCACCGCAACCCTAGAGTCGGATTCGACTGGCTTTCGAGCAAGGGAACCTTTACCTTTACCTTCACCCAGAGTGGCTTACAAACTCCTTTCCCTTCCCCTCCCCACAACAGACACCCTGTGAGGCAGGTGGGGCTGAGAGAGCTCTTTCGAGAACTGCACTTTCAAGGACAGCTCTGACAGAACTACGGCTTGCCCAAGGTCATCCAGCAGGTGCAAGTGGAGGAGTGGGAAATCAAACCCGGTTCTCCCAGATTAGAGTCCGTGCACTTAACCACTACACCAAACTGGCTGTGGCCCTTCTACAAATGCTTTCTCCAGTTTAAGAACACTGCAAAGGTCCTGTTTGTGAGCTTCCTGGAACCTCCTGGATGGCCACAGTTGGAAACTGGATGCTGGATGACATGGTGCCTAATCTGATCTAGCCAACATCTGGTGATGTTCTCACTCAAAACACTCATCACCTACAAACATTCTGGAGATGCTGTTGCTGATCCCCATTTCTTCAGACAACAGGCCATGATTTTAGTGGCAATGTTATGGGTTTCTGGATATCGCAAGTCCCAAGAGGACCAGAAATACAGGATGTGCCAATACTCAGATGCAGGGAGTACCAGGTTCTCAGTGCAATCCTAAGCAGTTATACTTTTCTAAGCCCACTGCTACACAGAGAAGAGTGTTAAGTTTAACTCTGTTTAGGATTGTACTTTAAGTCAAGAAATAGTCCCAGGACTTGAACCCTCAAAGTAAAAATAAGTGTTGGAGCAGAGTCAAATTAAATGCAATGGACATCCTGGATCTCCAGGTAACTTTTAAAGCCAAGTGACATTACATAAGGACTGAGGCCACATGGAGAGGGTAGAATTTAACCCTTCTGTCTCCTCCCATGCATGGCTTCACTAATCAAAACCACACCAGGGCAAATGCATTACAGCCCCATTCTCCCTGTTCACATGACCCCCATCCAGATGGGGGCCCACCCACCTGTAACTCAATCTACCTGTTTTTGTATTTCTGCATTTGTGTGTGTGTGTGCATGTGTGCATGCTCATCCCTGGAAGTCATAGCAACCTTGGGCAACTCCTACTCAGGTATGGAGGACATTCGAGGAAGACGAGGAGGAGGAGGAGGAGGAGGAGGAGGAGGAAGAGATTGGATTTATATCCTACCCTTCACTTGGGGCTTACAATCTCCTTCCCTTCCTCTCCCCACAACAGGCACCCTGTGAGGTAGGTGGAGCTGAAAGTGATCTTTGAGAACTATTCTTCAGAGAACAGCTCTGAGAGAACTGTGGCATGGCCAAGGGCACCCAGCAGCTGCATGTGGAGGAGTGGGGAATCAAACCCGGTTCTCCCGGATTAGAGTCTGAGCTCTTAACCCACTACACCAAACTGGCTTGACAGCCTGCCTCTGCCTCCCGGCCCTGGTATTCTTTGGAGGTCTCCCATCCAAATACTTCCCAGGGTTGGTCCTGCTTTGCTTCTGAGATCTGATGAGATCACTAACCAGATCAGGGCATCAATTTACCTACTTTGACCAATGCTCCCTCTAAGCTGTGGAGTCTCGTGAGCAAAAATTCTACTTTGTGAGCTACTGGCATTAAAGTTGTCAGCGAGCAGTTTGGCTACTGCATAAATCAGTTTGCTTTGGAGTCATCCTCCCTGAGCTAAGACAGCAATGTGTGAGCTGGAGGCTAAAAAGCTGTGAGCTAGCTCGCACTAACTCAGCTTAGAGGGAACACTGGTTTTGACTCTCTATCCATGGGCTGGAAGGAGTTAAGCAGGAACTGGAGGGGGGGCATCAAACCGAAAGTCAGTGGTGGCTTCCCAGCAGGAGGCACTGTAGCTCCAGGAGATGAGCTCATCAGAAAGCACCGGTCATGGAGAGGGACCCTTCCAACCTCTCCCTCCACCCCTGCTGGGTTAGATCCTATCCATGTTTCTGTCAAAACTGGGATTGTCTGCTTTGTATCAGTGAAAAAGCTATGCTTGGGATTGAGGGAACCACGCAGAGAGAAGCCATGTGGAAGAGAGTGCAGTGAGACAGGCAATTGAGTGAGGCTGCGAGGAAAAGTGGATAGGACCCAACCCTAGATATTTTTTTCCTTGCAACTGGGCATTCCAGTGTACCTACCACCATTGACACTTTAGGTACTAGTGGGGAAGAGCAGGGCATCGGCAGGCAGCTTAATTGCAACATTAAATGAGCACAGCTGCATTCTTTTCCGATGACCCTGCTCCCTTCCAGATCACACCAGCTTTTCTGCGGGCAACAAAGCAGAGGAGGGAGGGAGGCTTCTGACCCCCAAAAAGACGACGCTGAGGATCATGGGATGCTCACAGACAAAAGCCAGACGGCACAAGAACTGTAACGGGCTGAAATCGGGTGAGCCCGAGCTGAAAAGCTGGTTCAGTCCAGCCCATGCTCTTTCTACACCTACACCTGCCAGTTAACCCGGGCCCCAGCCCTGTAGGGACAAAAGGGCTCCGTGTCTCAGTGGGGGGTGGGGGGTGGGGGTCAGGTGCCTCAGGCGGGATGCAGCTGGTTTCATCTGTGATCTCCCCCCCCTCCAGAAAGGAAACATAAGCGGCTTCAAAATCCACAAGGGTTATTTTATTGGACTCAACTTGCTTCGCCTTGGATCCAATCAGTGCACTTTGTACAGAACCCAGAGTGAGCTCAGCAATCTATTTTCCCAGTTCATTTCTTGCCAGCAAGAAAAGAAGGATAAATACACAGACAGCTTATTTTCCTGGAAGAATTTCAGACAGGGGCTGGGGTGGGGGGCAGGGCCTGGAGGTCTGGGCACAGGATGTGGACAAATGTCGATGTGGAGCCACCTGGTGTGGTGCCGAGCAGGGAAAGGGGAAAGAGAAGCACAGGGCTGGAGAAGGGCGCGCAGGTCTCACACACCCAGTCCTGCAGAGACCCTGGGTGTGCGGAGTCATCTCTTTGTCCATCTCATCCCAACAAGCAAAATCCTTAAGAAGGGAGTGTCCTTGTACACCTTACAGGTCAAGTTAGCTGCTGGGCAGCTGGGGAAGGAGGGGAAGGGAAGCTTTGTGGGTCAAAGATGGGCAAGAGCATGGCTAATTCACTCCTAAAAAGTGCATCGCTGCCCAGGGAAAAGGCTGGGCTTGAGGGAGGGATACAGAGCCATCTCTATATTACATTAAAATAGACTATTTTGTTTTAAAAAATATTTTAATTGCTACAAAAAAACCTCACCTCTTCAGGGGGGTTGGCCGAGCCGGGATGCTTTGGACGGGGTGGGTGGGGAGCACATGCTGCTTGCGAGGGGCTGGAGCACTGACCCTTGGCTGGCTGGAAATGGCCGGCGGAGAGCTTGCCACAGGACCCATCCCTGGCTGCAAGGGCATCCTGCCTTGCGTAGCACCGGAGGGTGGGGTGGGGGTGAGGAATCAAACCAAGCAGCCAATCCATCAGGGAGAGGGTCGAAATGGCGGAAAGGGCAGCTTGGTCTCCACAGCCTCAACGGCCGAATGCAGTGGGCTGATCGTAAAATAAAAGCAACGTGGTGCCCTCAACTCTGTGAGCAAAAATCCCTCCTCCCTCTTGTCCCAGCTGCAAGGGAGAGCCAAGAGGCGAGCTGCTGAGCCCCGGGGGTGCCTCCTAGCCATCAGGCCAGAGCCAAGGACTGCCTATAAAGCAGAAGGGGGACTGGGGATGAGGGGGCCTGCACCCTCCCCCTCCCCTTGCTGCAGCTCACTGTCCAAACCCCCACTGTCCTCCAGCCTGGCCCCAACCCCAGGGGTGAGCCGGCCCGGAAGTCAAGTGACGGGGGCAGCGGGGAGCAGTGAGGTGAGGGAGGAGGCAGGGTGTGGCTTCCCTCGCCCGCACCGCTTTTGCTAACGTTAACATCAGACGAGGCGCCATTTGCTTAACATGGGAAAGGGGGCAGCTGCAATAGGCAAGGAGGAATCTGGGGGGGACGGGGACTGACAAGGAGCAATGTGTCAGTGTCCACTGCCAGAGCTTTGCAAAACAGATCTTACCCAATCAGGCTATCCTCAAGGCAGTTACGGGTGCACCGTGTGTGTGTGTGTGTGTGTGTGTGTGTGTGTGGCTCCTGGCAGACCAGGGGTCACTTTGGTCTTCCCTTGAGGGCAAGGGGCAGGGGGAAGTCTCCTTGGCCTCTGTCCGCATGGACTTTTATGCAGCAGAAGGAGCTCCTGAAGCGGACTCCTCCTGTTTTCTTACGATAAATAATTTCCCAGACACCCAAATTGCAGGACTGGCCATTTCTGAGCTTTGTTACAATAGAGAGTTATGGGGGGGGGGGCGATAAAAAGAGCAGGAAAATGGCTCTTTAGGCAAGGGGGGAAAAAGGGGTTACGACCACACCGCACCATGGGATTCTTTCCCAAGGGCTTCCATGGATAGGCATATCAGGACCAGGGAGCTGTATGCCTGACTGCGAGTTTTTGGCTCTGCGGGACACACCCTCGGCCTGCAGTGGCCTGAACTTGGCTTGAGGATTCCTGTATCAAGGCCTCTTGAGAACGACCAACTCCTCTCCAGCTTCACTTGGCTGAATCGGAACCACCACCCGGCTTCTAAATTGTGGGGCTCCGAAACAGGCGGCACGTGACGGTGGAGGCTCCAGGTATCCCTGTCCTCTGGAGGGGACTGAGGCCCAGCATGCATTGGGAGGCTCCGCTGGGTTTGGAGAGTATCGGTGAGGAGCGAAGAGGGAGGGCAGCTGTTTTGGTTCATTCCATCTCGTTCAAGCGGATACAACAGAACTAGAGTCAGAATGCATTCTCACGCAGGCAGGGGCATCCATCCTGCCAGCAGCCATTCCGGGGGAGCAGAGGATCATGGGAACCAACATCTTGCCCTCTGGCCTGTGCCTTCGTCACCACCTTCGTTGCTATGGTCTCTTTCTCTCGTGCAAATGCAACGTGGGTCCTAGATGACATGGCAGCAGTTGAACTGTCCCAGTGAGAGTAGGCTCTCCTTGGAGGCGGGCCGCATCCGGAAGGCCAGGGCCTTCTCGCAGAGAGGGAAATGCAGGATCCGGTCCTTCAGGTTGGCACTCTTGCCCTTGGCGGGGTCGAGCTTGATAATGTTGTCCGCCAAACTCTCGCTGCCGCTGGGGCTGCCGTTCCCGCGGCTGTCGCTCAAGTGCTTTGGCCTACTGGGTGGTCCCATCTCAAGGTTCCCATCTGGTTTGGGGGACTTCCCTTCTGGGTCCGAGTCTGTGTTTGCCTGGGCAGCCGTGTCCCGAGCGAGAGCCTCATTCTTCTGAGGAATATGGACCCCAGCCTCCTTCCTCAGGAGCTTCTCTCTAACAGGGCCCTGTCCAACTTGGGGAGTGTTGTTATTGTCCTCTTCCTTCCCTATGTGTCGTTCCACCGTGCTGGGGCTCGCGACTGCCCTGCCACCGTCCTCCTCCTCCTTGGAGTCCCCCCTGCTATCCAGCCACGGCTCATCTTCGGTGGTCCCTTCTGGGGGCGATTCAGGGGCTCTTTTCGCCCTTTGCAACTTGAAGTTGCTGGTGCCTTCCAGTTGTGCGGCTTGGTTCAGGAGCTCTTGGCAAAAGCCTGGGCTGTCTATTAGGGACAGAGGCCTCTGGAGAGTCACCTGGTTCAGGCTGGATTCATGCGACTGGTCAAGGGAGCGCATCTTGGTGAACCCCGCCACGGGAGCCTTTACTAGTTTGCTGTGGGCGGCGAGGCTTCGGCAGAACAGCAGGGAAGCCTTGGCACTCTGGAAATCACTCATCTGCTCTTGGTTCAAGGAGGAGGTTCTCCTTCGGAAGAGGCCGGGCTTCCCCTCCTCTTCCTCCTCTTCCTCCTCCTCCTCCTCTGAAATCTGCTGCAGGGCCGGAGTGCTCTTAGCAATGGGGGTCTCAATGAGGGAGGGCCGAATGAGCGCTCTGATTGGCTGCCCGCATCCGTGGAAACTGGAAGGGGACTCGTTCTCTCCCAGAGCGGAGAAGGACAGGACGGACTTCCCAGAATGCTCGGCAAAGTTCTCCAAAGCACTCTTGGTTGTAGGCAGAGGTTGAGGGCTTTCATCCAAAGCCGTGGGGTGGCTTAGATCGCTCACAACACTGAACGAGGTTCTGGGAAAGAGAGACAAGAAGGGAGGGGGGGGGTTCAATGTCTATGAACATCGAAAGGCACAAGGAACAGGGAGGAGCCAGAAACCGAATGCCTATTCTCCCCCCCTTTTGATGTTTTTCTCACTTCCCCCCTCTCCTGTCGATCAGGCGTCCACTGAAAATTCCACAATCAGACCTCAATTTGCCAGGCACGTGGGGTTCTGATTTGGACTGGGACGGCACCATGTGGGGGAGAAAGTTTAAGCCTTCCACACTGTACCATTTCCCTATACAATTGCTAGCTCTGGGTTGGGAAAGCCCTGGAGATTTGGGGGGCGGAGCCTGGAGAGGGCAGAGTTTGGGGAGGGGGACGGACCCTCCAGAGATCTGGTGCCATGCAGAGTCTGCCCTCGGAAGCTGCCATTTCCCCCAAGGGAACTGGTCCCTGTAGTCTGGAGACCAGTGGTAATTCTGGGAGAACTCCAAGCCCTCTCTGGAGGTTGGCAACCCTATTTACCCAGCCTGGGAGCAGCTATTTGCCCTGCTGGGAAAGATTACATGTAGCCATCAATATAAATAAAGCCCCCATCGGGGCAAACAGCACCTTAGTCCTGGGATTTCACGCTGGGAAACTGGCGAAGAAGGAGGAGGAGGAGGAGGAGGAGATTGGATTTATACCCTGCCCTTCACTTGGAGTCTCAGAGCAGCTTACAAACTCCTTCCCCTCCCCACAACAGACACCCTGTGAGGTAGGTGGGGGTGAGAGAGCTCTGAGAGAACTGCTCTTTCAAGAATGGCTTCAACAGAACTATGGCTTGCCCAAGGTCATCCAGCCAGGTGCATGTGGAGGAGTGGGGAATCAAACCCAGTTCTCCCAGATTAGAGTCCGCACACTTAACCACAACACCAAACTGGCTCTCTGGATGGGTAAGGCTTGAACCCCTCTCTCTTTGTGCCACAGCCCAGATCCAAATCAGGTCCCAAAGCACCTGGGGACAGAGATCCATGTGTGACACGCACAGTGCAGGTCTGCTGGATAGGATCAGGGGAGGATGTGAGACAGGACATGTTCCAGATCTGGGGGGGGGGGACCCTAGGCAGAGAGGATCCTCTTATGCCCACTACCAGCTCCCCTTTCTAGTTCACACACCTGCAGGCCCCCATAATGCTTGCATGTCATTCCCCTGCCCACTTGCGAGCTGACTCACCACCTGCAGTCACAGCTGACCACACGGACTGCGTGCCCTTTCCCTGAAGGTGCTGGGCATTGGGTGCAATTCAGAGTGCCGCTGCCATGGCCACCACACACACCTCTGCTATGCACACCACCCACATGCCTTTCGCCGGCAGCACTAGGCAGCTAGGATTGTGGGTGACAAGGCACTCACAACCAGCACGGGAAGGGTGTGTCAGGAGGTGCATGGGTGTCGGCATCATCAGGGCACGCCAGAAGCCCTGGGCCCTGGCACTCCCCCACCCCCCGACAGTATGCTGACGCCAGACCTGATGCAAGGAAAAGGTACATGGAGTTAGGTCCTCAGGGCCGTGGCCAGCAGTGGGACTTTAGGGGCAGAACCCCCTAATCATTAAGACAGAGCCGCCTGCAGCTCAAGATCTCTGTCCCCTCCCCTCCTGCATTGGGGGGCGTGGAAGGAGGAGAGAATGCCCTGCCCGAGAGCTCTCGGAGACCTGACTCACTGGCTGGCACAGATGAGGCTGGGGTGGGCCATTCTCACTGGCTGGCGCAGGCGCAGTGAGGCACCAAGGTGGGCCATTCTCTAATGGTCCACCCAGGCGCCTCACTGCTTCTGCGCCAGCCAACGAGTCAGCTCTCCAAGAGCTCTCAGAGAGCTCTCGGACAGCCAACTCACTGGCTGGCTGGCGCAGATGCAGTGAGGCACTGGGGCAGGCCATGCTCTGGTGCCTCATTGCGCCTGTGCCTGCTCAGAGAGCCGAGGAGGCAGTCATCTGCTCGCTGCCCTGCCACCTGGCTGCCTCCTCTTCAGCTCTCCTCCTCCTCCTCCAAACAGAGAGGGAGAAGGAGAGTCACTCGTGGTGACAGCTAACTGCCCCGCCCCCCGGAGTCCAATGCCCTCCACTGGAAAACTGCCTGGCTATGGGACTGCCCTCAGAGGAGAGGGAGATACTTGCCTGCTTTGGACGTGCTGGGCAAGGTTGTAAACCAGGCTGGGGCTAGGGCTCTGCTTCTCCTGTTTCTCGCGCAGGATCCTTTCAGCCAGCAGGAAGTAGGTGGCAGTAACATGGTTGTAGTGATTGGCCTCCAGTGCTCTACAAGGAACACAAAGGACAAGGGGAAAAAACAACCCCAGAGATGCAGGAGACACTCTACAACAGGCATGTCCAACTTCGAACAGGTAGTGATCTATTTTTTCTGGCCAAAAGAGCCGTGATCTACCACCACGAAAATAAAGTTTCAAATTAGATTTTAACCCACTAAAGTTCGGTTCCACCACGCCCTCCCCCCCATTTATAATGCACCTTCTGTCATTTACTGGTAAGCAAAATAAGCAAAAACAAAACAGAGAGACAAAGATCCAGAAAGAACTGCGAACATTTTTTATTTTTATTGTTATAACTTTTTTTTAACTGTCTCAATAACTTTCTTTAACTTTTATTCAGCGTTTCTAAAAGTAAACATAAGAATTCATCATACTGGCACCAATAATCAAATACCACCAAACAATAATAAAAAAACCCCCAAACACCTGTCCAGCAAACCAGGAGACCAAATGGGGCTGGTGATCTACCTCTGACCCCTCCGCGATCTACTGGTAGATCGCGATCTACCTGTTGGACATACCTGCTCTACAAGGACCCACTGCAGGCAAGTACACAGGAGCACACAAATACTGCACAGGGACATCATCCACCTCTATGCAGGTGGAGAGAATTCAGAAAGACCATTGCAGTGGGGTTCCCAAAGCAGTTTCAAGCACTGCCCCTCTGTGCCTGAAAACTGGGTTTTGCTGGGGGTTCTAGACACAGAATTCCCAGCATTCCTCTGGTTTGAAGACAGCTGGAGACAAAATGTCAAGATCCATCCCTGGCAGATACCTGCAACATTGCCAAAGGTGAACATTGGGCACAAGCCCAGCAGAGCCAATAATCAGGTGCCTCTGTGTGGAGGTACCTTGAGGCACTGTCCCTCCTGGCCTCAGCGCCCGACCCAAAGGCTTGTACTGCAAAATTATTCCTGCCTTTGCACACTGATAAGAGGCTCTACTGATCCACCCTTTGGGGCCACAGGGTAGGATGTCTTGGGCTAACTGGGGGTCACTGTTTGTGCTCCCTTTTATGGGTGCTTTTCAGATGATTAAACACAGAGTCCTTGACATTGAAACACAAAGGCTATACAGCTTAGCCAACAAATCTTGCTCCCCTCTGAACTTTGAGAATCCGCTCACGGTAGGCCGAATGGCCCCATACCTATCTGATATACAAGCACCACAACAGCACAGAGCCTTTTCACTAGCAAGATTCAATGCACTACCATCAGCAATCTTGCATGGGAGATATAATAACATAGCATATACAGCTAGACTTTGCCATTGTAACTCTGAATGCATTGAGACCAGTTTCACATATCTGTTTGCACTGCCAGTTTTATATAGATATATGTTTTAGATATTTAAACCCTATTTTAGCCAACATGACGGACCTTCCTGATGCTTAAAAAGTGCACCATCTTCTGAATGACTCCGCTACTGAAATATCAGTGAAGGTAGCCATGTTTTTACAATGAGCTACAAACTATCAAAATGAGCAACACTATGTAACAAATTGTTTTATTTGTTTTATTGTTTTATTATGCAATATCATGTAGTTTGCAAAATACTTGGTTTTATATGTATAGTTTTATATGTATATTTTTTAATAGTAATCCTCTTTTAAGGTATTGTTTTATGCCAATAAAGGCTAACCGACTGACTGGCTAACTGGGGGGCTAGCTACTTGGCCTACCTTTTTTTTTGGGGGGGGAGTATTTTTGTCTGTGTGTGTGTGTGTGTGTCTGCCTGGAAGTCATGGTTGACTTCTGGTGACCCCTAGTGGGGCTTGGACATTTCAGAGAGGTGGCTTTGATACTGCCTGCCTCTGTGTCCTGGCCCCGGTATCCCTTGGAGGTCTCCCATCCAAGTACTTGCCAGGGTCGGCCCTGCTTAGCTTCCAAGATCTGATGCGATCGGGCTTGCCCGGGCTACCCAGGTCGGGGCGCTACTTAGCCTATCTTATACATCCCAACTTCCTCAACCTGGGCTATGGTCAAACTTCCACAGGAAACAACTGGGGGAGTACTAGACGGCTGTTCCTAATGGCAGCTGAGCGCGAGAGAGACCCACCCTAGACATCTCGTTTGCAAGCAGGTGGTATCTCCCTGCTTTCTTCCCTATCAATCCGAGCTTCTGGCAGGACTTCAGGCTTTAACCTCTCTGTTGCCCCACAAAATCCCCTGGGTCGAAAGACATGCTTTTGAAACATGCCCCTCCCACACACCTATACACACACGACCCACACACACTTCTCAGACCTTGAGATGTCTGAGCTTGCAGGAGGGCCCACGGTTTAATATTATTAAAGCTGAAGAGTCAAGATCAGGCTACGTGCTATCAAGATGCCAGCGCATAAGGAAGTAGCCAGGTTCCCATGGGAACTCAGAAATAACCCGACAAGGACTTTATTCCTGCGGGCTCATCAAAATTCAAGCTATGACTAACGATCGAGGCTGGCAAGACAATGACGAACTTTCCAGGGACCATCCAGGAACTTGCCTTCCAACTAAGACTTCCCTGGAATACCTAATCAGGAACACGGGCAAAGCCCATGGCAGCAAGGCTTTGGTCAGACTTGTCACTTGGGCAATTTGATCATGCTGACTGGACCCATTTCACCTTCCTCCTGCGTCATCTAGTACCTTTTCTTTACCGGCATCTCAAACAAAGAGAAATTTGAACTTGCCAGTAGGCACTCAAACTGAGACTCTGTCTCCTACAATAAAAACGAGGTTCCTAGAATCTCTCCCATCAAAGAGCAACTCAAATTGCATCAGTCACAAGCAAAATTCTGAAAAACTGCCCAGTAGGAAAAAGAACAGAAAAGTTCTACCAGTGATATTTGGCCACAATAGTAAATGGCCAGGTACAAAACTATATGAAGGTGGCATCCTGACATGAACAAGTTGGGTTCATTTTCCCTCCCAGACTGTTCCTCCACCATTACAGGACTATGCTAAGTGGTGTAAGATTTAGGCTGTGCTCTCACACACTAAATGCATTCAATGCATTTTCCAACTGAATTTCGTCAGTTCGCACAATAAAATGCAGTTGGAAAGTGGACTGGAAGTGGATTATTCAGTGTGTGTGTGATCACCGCCTCAGTCTCCTCCCCAGGAATGCTCTTCTATCACTGATATTACAGGACAGAGACCTCCTTGCTACTTTGGAATTTCTCCAACTGCACTGCAACTGCTGGCCTGCGTCGCGATCACACACACTAAATAATCCACTTTCTATGCACTTCCGAATTAGATTTTGCCAGTTCACACAGTAAAATCCAGTTGGAAAGTGCACTGAAAGTGGATTGAAGGTGGATTATTTAGCGTGTGTGACTGCAGCCCTGGATCAAGCAGCATAAGAAACGTTCTGCTCTGCTTCCTTATCCACTCTTCTTTCCCTCCTGGCCTGCTTCCCTGACCTCAAGTTTCCTGAGATCCATCTTCTCCCTGTCTCTGCTCCAAGTGCTGCTAAGAGAGCAAACGTCAACGCTCCTCCCTAACCGCCCTCCCTCTCTGGGGCCACCCGAGGGTTGCCAGCTCTGGGTTATGGGCAGAGTCTGGGGAAGGGAGGGATGCGTTGCCACGGAGTCCACCCTCCAAAGCTGCCATTTTCTCCAGGGGGTCTGATCTCTGTAGTCTACAGATAAGCTGCAATTCCAGGAGAGTTCCTGGCCCTACCTGCAGGATGGCAACCCTAATGCATACTTGTAACAAACATCTAGGGTGGGTCCTGACCAATGCTCCCCCTAGGCTGTGGAGTCTTGTGAGCAAAAATTCTACTTTGTGAGCTACCAGCATTAAAATTGTGAGCGAATGATTTGGCAACTGCATCAATTAGTCTGCTCTGGAGCCATCCTTCCTGAGCTAAGACAAAAATGTGTGACAAAAATGGGCTAAAAAACTGTGAGCCTAGCTCACACTAGCTCAGCTTAGAGGGAACACTGGTTTGATTTTGGACTAGCCCCGGGGAGATTAATGTAGCATGGTTGGGACAGCTTCCACTAGGAATCATTAGATTTGCTTCTTGCTGCTTATTCCTCAAACGCTGTTGTGGATTCTAGACGCCATCTAGTTACTCGTAGCTCAGTAACTCCACAATCTTGTTATTTCATGTTGCTCTTTCAATTCACCTACTTTTTCCTTCCATTTTTATATGTTCCATAAAGATTAAAAACACAAGTACTGTCTTCCTTGTTGCCTGCTACTCCGAAACGCTGCCCGAGTAATCGGCCAAGTGTCTGTCTGTTTAAGCATGGGCCCGAGGTCCCTTGCCCTGGGATCTGAAGGTACAGTTGTGAAAGGACATTCACGCGTGCCCTCAGTTCTCGCAACAACACCCCCCCCCAGTCAGATCCCCCACCCCACCATATCCCCTGCTCAATCAGGAAACCGGGCAGGCCAAGTTAGCTGGTGACACTCACTCTTGGATTGTTTCCCGGTCTGCTATGTTGCCGCACATCATGGCCTGGATGATGATATCGTGCTCCTCCTCCGAGACCCGCTTGTGCGAGGTTAGAGGCAAGAGATAGCGACTGGCCGGGGAGGGGTCCACGCCCTGCAGCCACGGGTGGTTCTCAATCTGTTCCAAGGAGGCTCTCTGCTGTGGGTTCCGTTGCAGCATCTGAGAGATCAGGCTGGCCAAGAGAAAACAGGAGTTACCACTCAGCCAGCGAGATGGGATGACTCGGGGGAAACAGCCTGAGGTATCACTGCAGAAAGGGCCAAACTTAGTTTTCACACTCTAAATGGAGGCCCTCTAAACGGGATGACGACCATAAGAGAACATAAGAACATAAGAGACGCCAATGTTGGATCAGGCCAAAGGCCCATCCAGTCCAACACTGTGTGTCACAGTCTGACGTTGATACAGGGTAAATTGGTGGAAACCATTATTAAGGAAAGAATTAGTAGGCTTATAGATGAACAAAACCTACTGAAGCAGACTCAGCACAGGTTCTGTAAGGGAAGATCTTGTCTCACTAACCTGTTAGTGTTCTTTGAGGGGGTGAACAAACATGTGGACCATGGTGACCCAGTAGATAAGTCCTTTTGTGGATCAAAAACTGGCTAATAGGAAACAGAGTGTGAGAATAAATGGGCAATTTTCTCAGTGGAGGGTGGTAAGCAGTGGGGTACTGCAGGGATCAGTACTCGGTCCACTGCTTTTTAACTTGTTCATTAATGATTTGGAGTTGGGAGTAAGCAGTGAAGTGGCTAAATTGGCGGATGATACAAAATTGTTCGGGGTGGTGAAAACCAGGGAGGATTGTGAGGCACTCCAAAGGGATCTGTCGAGGATGGGCAAGTGGGCATCAACGTGGCAAATGGGGTTCAATGTGGCCAAGTTCAAGGTGATGCACATTGGGGCCAAAAATCCTAACTATAAATACACATTGATGGGGTCCAAACTGGCAGAGAATGAGGGTTGGAACACTTTCCCTATGAGGAACGGTTAAGGCGCTTAGGGCTCTTTAGCTTGGAGAAACGACGACTGAGGGGTGACATGATTGAGGTTTATAAGATTATGCATGGGATAGAGCAGGTAGAGAAAGAGGTACTTTTCTCCCTTTCTCACAATACAAGAACTCGTGGGCACTCAATGAAATTGCTGAGCGGTCAGGTTAGAACGGATAAAAGGAAGTGCTTCTTCACCCAAAGAGTGTTTAACACATGGAATTCACTGCCACAGGAGGTGGTGGCGGCTACAAGCATGGACGGCTTCAAGAGGGAATTAGATAGGCATATGGTGCAGAGGTCCATCAGTGGCTATTAGCCACAAGGTATAGATAGGGGCTATGGGGCAAGTGATGCTCTGTCTTCTTGGTGCTTGGGGGGGGGCAGCAGTGGGAGGGCTTCTAATATCCTGGCCCCATTGGTGGACCTCCTGGTGGCACCTGGTATTTCTGGCCACTGTGTGACACAGAGTGTTGGACTGGATGGGCCTTTGGCCTGATCCAACATTGGCATCTCTTATGTTCTTATGACCCCATAGGGTTTTTAAGACAAGAGATAAGCAGAGGTGGTTTGCCATTGGCTTCCTCTGTGTAGCAACCCTGGGCTTCCTTGCTGGTCTCCCATCCAAGTACTAACCAGGGCCAACCCTGCTTAGCTTCAAAATTCTAACGAGATTGGGCTAGCCTGGGCTGTCCAGGTCAGGGCAGAGTCCTCATACTAGTACAGTAACAAGAGGAATATGGGACATTTTAATTGCACTTCCTTCTTTGGTCTGCAGAGGGCACTTGATACTTAGTAAAGGTTTCCGTTGCTTGAAAGCCAGTCGAATCCAACTCTAGGGATGCAGTGCTCATCTCCGTTTTCAAGTCGAAGAGCCAGCACTGTCCGAAGACATTTCCGTGGTCATGTGGCTGGCATGACTAGACGCCGAGGCGCATGGAACGCTCTTACCTTCCCACCGAAGCAGTAACTATTTATCTACTTGCAATTCCTTGCTTTCGAACTGCTGGATTGGCAGGAGCTGGAACTAGGGACGGAAGCTCACTCTGTCACGCGGCACTCGGGTCTTGAACTGCTGAACTACCGACCTTCCAGTCTGCAGTTCAGCGTCTTAACCACTTGAGCCACCGCAGCTCCTCTTGGTACTTAACCAGTCCACAAACATGGAACAGAAATAGGAAGGACGTGGCAGCTACACCAGGAGAAGATGGAGCTCATGTGTGCTTGGGGAGGAGGGGGAACGTGCATGGCCCTGCCCCGTGACACAGGAGCCACACAGAACTGGAGTGGGGATGGGAGGGGATTGGTCTCATACTCTGCACACTGTGAGGAGACGTGACTCGGGATAGTGTAGCGGCAGTCCAGGATCATGGTCAGGGTCTCACTGTCGTTAGCTTCCTGGAAGGGCGGCTGCCCACACACCAGCATGTAAAGAATGACGCCCAAGCTCCAAATGTCTGTGGCAGGAAAAAGAGGAAGAGAAAAGGAAGAGGGGTGAGACAAACTGGGCAGAAACAGGGGAAACACTGGCCAGCCCCCCTACAACAGAAAGCCGTTGTGGGATGCCATCCTTTTGTGAAAAGTCAAGGGGCAAACAAAAAACCCGGAAAACATTCCCTCACATTCACAGACACCTCATGTGGCTCCCACCAAAAGGCTCCTTGTTATTTACTTAGATATTTATACTTGGGCATTCTCTCCAAAGTGGTTTATGTTATTCCCTTCTCTGTTATATATGCACAAAACCAACCCTGTGAGGTAGGTTAGGCTGACAGAGAGTGAGAGGCTCAAGGAAACACAGTCTTCTTCCATGGTAGAGTGGGGGATTCAAAGCCGGGTTTGCCACACACTAGCCCCACTTTCTAACCACTACGTCACACTGCCTGGGCAAACGCCTCATGGCCACACAAACAGTTCATTTTATCAAACCCTTTACTTGTGAAAGGAATGAGAATAGCAGCACCATCACTGGAGGCTGTGGGAAGTCTCAAAGTTAACCAGCCCGTCTGAATTCCACACTTTTGAATCACGCACAACACTCTAAGTTTAGGACAACGTAACTGTGGATAAGTGGAGTCTGGGCAATGAAAAACATCCTGAGTGAAGAGGTATATCCTTGATAGATGAGGTTTAGTTCTTTGTCCCCCCTAATGCCTAACCAGTTCCCAGGCTTCCAAAGGAAAGACAAAATAGTGACCCTGTCAGTGATGTCTACCACCAGAATGTCTCTGGCCTGTCCAAGTCCAGGGGGCTATCCCAAAGGTATCCTTTGGTTCTTCCCTCCTCAGGACAATTTGACCATCTCTTCTGGCATTAGCTTCAACACAGAGACAATCCTCGTCTCTGAGATATGTTACTGGGGCAGGGGATGAGATTTCTTGATGCAGAAAATAAGTCAGAAGTGCACTGGCACCTTGGAAATTAGTAGACATGTACTCCAGGAAAAGTTTTCAGGAGAAAGGGCTCCCTTCATCAGAGGCATGTGCCTCATGGCCAATGCATCTGATGAGGTGAGCTCTGCCTCACGAAAGCTTCTCCCAGAATGAATTCTGTTAGTCTCTAAGGTGCCGCTGGACTCCTCCTTCGTTTTGCTGAAGCAGAGGAATGCAGTAAATCCTCTGGAATGATCTTGAGGAGAAAGTACTTCAAACCACCTGTTGGAAATACTTCTCCCACAAAACTGGAGGGTGTTTTTTTTGGTAACATCTGCATTTTGGAAGCCCCTCAGAGGAAGTGCCATGGGAGGGGGAGCTGTCACTCAAGTGTCTCCCAAGGCACACATCAAGGAGGTGCCAATTAACTGAGGTGTGTGAGGACAAGAGTTGTGCAGGGTGAAGGATGAAAAGAGCTGGCAGAGAAGACGGGTGGCGTGGGGGGGGGGGGGAAGCAGAACATGCCAGGCAGGGGAAATTCACAGCTATCACCCCATCTCTCTCTGTCTCTCTACCAAAAGCCATCTCCTAACCTTCTGTCACACAACCCCTTTCTGTCATTCCACTTTTGGAACTCTTCACACACACGGGTGCTATTTTGTGTGAATAGGCCAACTGCATACATTTTCAAGTTTTCATACACACGACTGGGAATGTGGGTTTGTTGTGGACACACACTGAAAAGACAAGGGCTGCCCTATTCATAACAACTGCATATATCAAGAGGACCTGGTGTCAGATGCTGGTGAGCTGGTGTGCCAGGAGCGAAGGGACAGGACCCAAACTTGGGTCAGGGTGGTCTTATAAAGGGGCCCTGGGTGGGTGGGCAGGCAGGAGGCAGCTTTAGTTCCAAAGGGCTGGGGGGAGGGTGTCACCCAGGGCAGGATATGACCCCTTGACGCTCTCTCATACAAAAAGGAAGGAAGGGAGGGAAAGGTAGCAGCCCAGAGAGTGAGGCGGAAGTGAGGGTTCAACTTCCCCAGAGGAAGCCGAGCACAGATGGCCGACGAGATAAGCTCCGGTAATCGGCTCAGGCTCTTTTCAAAAGCCGGCTCAGTGCATGCCAAGCCAACCCAAAGGGGCCGAGGAACCCTTCAGAGCCTTTTACCTACATCCCGCCCACCCCCAACTCCCAAACAGGCATCGGTCTACAGACAGGCAGGCGATCCGACATGCACAGATGTCCCAGTATCAGGTCACCCTTGAAATGGTGCCATGTCCTAGACAGGTCAAGCCAGAGACAACAGGCCTCAAAGAGCAGCTGCCTCCTCTCCTTCAGGGCACTGCCCTTAGCCAGACAGGACAGAGATCCTCTCTGTGTATGTACTGAAGGGAGTCTCATGCAGCCTTCCACCAACTAGGTTCCCAGGGCAGCCAAGAACACATACAAAGCCCTACACAATTAAAGCTGTCGCACAAAATTCTCTTACGTTTTATCCAGCCCCTTCTTTCTCGGAGTTCAGGGCCACATAAAAGGTTTGTTTATTTAATTAATTTACTTTATTTATACCCCACTTTCATCCCTGATGGGGTTCCAAAGCAGCTCATATTGTTCTCCTGTCCTCCGTTTGAACCTGGCCCAAGGCCAACCAGCTAACTTCCACGGCAGAGTGGGGATTCGAACCTGGGTCTCCCAGATCATAGCACAACACTTTAAGAACGACACTGCACTGGTTCTCGGTTCTCCTGTCCTCCATTTTATCTTTACCAACTATTCTGTCTGGGCTGACAGTGTCCGGCCCCAGCTCACCTCCATTTCACCCTCACAACCACCCCGTGAGGTAAGTGAGGCCGAGAGAACAAGACTGACCCAGAGACACCCAGTAAGCTTCACAGTTCTCACTGTCTCCATTTTGTCTTCACCACAGCTTTGTGAGATGGGTTAGGCCGCAGGAGAGTGGCTGGCCCAAAGGTACCACTGGACGCCATTAATGAAGAACCACCACATTCAAGACCATGTCTTTGAGAGACAGTAGCTGGAGGGACACAGAGAAGGAATTCAGCGGATGGTCTATCTGGTGATGGGCAGGCAGGACCAGGAAGGCTATCAAAGGCGCTCATCCAAAACCATTTAGGACTTTAAAGAAGAACAGCCAGCATTCTGAACTGTGCCAGGTAGCAATCAGCATAGCTCTTTCAGTACCGGTCAGCAAGAGTTTCCTGGTAATTTGTATCTATGCCAGCAGCATCTTGAACCCACTGAAACTTTCAAATGGTCTCCAGAGTTTTAAGAACAGTGTGCCCCAAAACACTATTGTTGTGGTGGTGGCCGATTCAGAAATATTACCCTGGAGCAAGCTATGGAGACCTTCTTCCCTGAGGATCTTAGCAAGGTATTCGTCAGAAGGGATGCCATTGCTCTGGTCCCCAAACCAGGTCACCTAATTTGCATATTATTCAAAGTGTCTCACGACTGTGTGAACCAAGCACATTTGTTGTACCTTTTTCTACCAACTGTTCTTGGCAAAGATCACAACAGAGGGGCAGGAACAGTGGTATGATCTTCTTATCCCAACCTTGCTCGGGTATCCTGCCTGCCTTTCTTCTTGGAAAGCACCGCAAGGCATATTGGGAGAGATTTAACCGGCTGTTTCTGTTGCTGTTCCAACAGGGGAAGGCTTTATATCCGCTCCTCAATTAAATGTGGAACTGGGAGTTCCAAACGCAAGGGCGAGCGCTCTGTTCTCTTCCCTCAAAATCTCCCTTGGCAACGGCAGGCCAGAAACAAAGCCTCAGTCAGAAGTCAAAACATCACCAGCAGATCACAGCCCAACCCTGAGTTTACTTAGAGGCAAGTCCTATTCATTCCCATGGGGTTTACTTCCAAGTATGTTTAGTACTGCAACTTTTAACACGCAGAAGGGGGGGGGGATTGTGATGGGAAAGTATTGTGTGCCAGTCCTTAGAAACTGTGCAAAATGCAAAAGGAAGAAAGGTTGTTAAAGGATCACTCCAAAAATCTCATTTAGTCAAACCACACAATCTTCCTGTAACCCCTCCCTTTCCGCTGTAGTTTGCAGCATTTGGATATATTATTTATTGGGAGTGATATTACATTTAAAATAATCGTATATTTCTGAACTGAAGCACTCAAGGCCATCAGCGAAAACAGGAACTGCAGGAGCAGACAGAATACAATGCAATCATTAGTAAAATGCAATCAACTACTGATTATTTTTAAAAAATCAACACATTTTCAAGCCAGACTTTAAAATCAACCACAGCACAATGAGAAGAATTAGATCAAAAAGCAGAAAACAACTAAGGCCAGAAGACCAATAAAGCGATAAGGAGGAAAAGTAGAAACCACTCTCAAGCCAAAAGAATTTTAAAAAAATTGTTAGGGTCAGAAGTTGAAAATTGTCAGAGGGTGCTAGATGCACAGAACAAGAGAGGATGGGGGGGGGGGGAGTCAGGGAAAAAGTCCTACCCCTCAGGCTTATCTGTCTTACCTGAGAAGACTGAAGAGCCTGGTATAAGGGCCTGGCATTAGGAATGCTGAGTCCGGGGAGGACAAATAGGGGACAGGTAGCCATTCCACTATTCAGGTCCTAGGCTGTATGGGGATTCACAGGTCAAAACCAGCAGCTTGAATTGTAACCTGAAGCTACTGAATTCTTTCAACATTGCAAAAAACTGTGGCTTGAAGTCCACCCCCATTAACAATCCTGCCGTTGTAATTCTGGACAAACCAAAGCTTTCAAATAGTCTCTAAGGGCAGCCCAACTGTAATGCACTCTATCAAGCCTGGAGGTGATGACAGAATGGGTCACTGTGGCCAGATCAGGTTTCTTGAGGAAGGGTCACAGTTGGTAAACCTCACGAAACCTTACGCTGTAAAATGTGAGTCTGCCAACAGAATCAAAGATAAGACTTTTCTGAGTCCAATGCAGACTTCAAATATTATACCCCCTCCCCAGCATTCTTTGGCGAGTCACTGTCTCAGTTTTGCATCTGTAAAATGGGAATAATAGTGATTACTACACAAGAGTGTTGTGACAGAGAAAGGAGGACAGATTCTGAAG